CCGTTTTAAGCGTGTTTTGCCATCATTGTTATTCCTGATTTAAAATTAATCATAACAAAAGCCATACAGACTGCCGTGAAAAACTTAAAGATTGGACGCTACGTGTCAATTTCAACTAAAATACTTTTCTGATTTAGATAATCGCTTATTTCATTAGTTATTCCTTTCGGACCTTACCTCCTCTAGAATTCAAATTTATGTTCATTACCATTTTTACTGACAGTTTGATTTTTTCCCAGGGATCTTTCAAGTTGTTCGTTGAGCTCAATTACAGAAGACATCTTTAGGAACCTGACTGTTTTAAAGAAATTGTAAGTTGCAAATAAAATTGAATTAAAAAAAATAACTTTGAATTTCTGTTAATGAGAAATTCGTATTGGATCGAAAAGTTTTGTCTTCAAGCAAAGTACTTTTTCTTTTTGAAAATTAAAAGAAAAAAAAGATGGCCCTTTTCTAAAATGCTGGTAGATTTCGACCGTATTTGGTGATCTTTAAGATACTAATATCGCCCTTCTAATGATGAGTAAAAAAGGAAAGGGCACGTAATTTGTTTTTTTGGAAAATTTTATGCTTAATCTTACGAGAATCCTTTTTTTTTTCACGTACTCTCCCTCTCTTTCTAGGGACTTATCAAATAATTCACTGCGACGCATTCCTCAAAACACTTTCCGCAATATGGAGAAACTGGAAGTAATGTAAGGGAATTCCTAATGATTTAATTTAAACAATTTATAAATTATGGTTGAGAAAAAATCAGGAAACGAGTGGAAAAGTATTTCCCATTTTTTTTTCCATTATGATAAACAACTATTCACCTAAGTGGGGGTGGCTAGTGGTGGATATTTACCGAGCTGTGAAGAGTCGAGGTGAATAGAATATGAATATCTATCTTTCTGTCTTTGGTTTTTCTTGCCTTTGTTTCATGACATTTGTTATCATTTCTTCCCAGAAATCTTTCCAAGAACTCAATTTCTGGGAGTTTTTACGTTCCAGAAAACGTTCATTCTCTGTGAGTTATATTTGATAACGTGCTTCTCAAAGCTGTATGCCACAATTAAAGTACATTAAGGATTACTGCTGAAATATTGCTTTAAGCTTGTATTCTCCAAAAAATATGAATAAAATGATGATGAACTGCTTACATTAGTATTTCCTATCCTTTCCTTTGTCTTATTTTCTTAAAAAAAAAACAAGTAAATAAAAAAGAAAAGAAAAACAGTGGATGGATATGGATGAATGAAACAGCGTAGTATAAATGAGGCTTCGTGAATCATTTTAGCCCACTGTTTAACACCTATAAGTTGATTTTAGATATTGCCTTTGTTTAGGAAAATCAGTCACACCTTACTATCAATTGCTGATGTGAAGGTCATTCTGAAAGGGTTAACACGGCTTCACACACTGTAAGTGTCATGTTTTAAGTTGATTAAAAAATAACAAAAAATATATTTTCGAATGCTTTAAGCATATAGTCGTTGGAGATATTCGCTAAATATTCGTTCATCACAGTTTATAAGGAATTAAAATTTCACACCTCAGATCGGCCTATATTTAATTAGCAGATAGTTGCGACTTATTCCAAACGGTTTACTTTTACAGAGATTTTAGTGGAAATCCACTTGGACCTTCTCTGCCATCAGTTATCTTCGCCGGGCTTGAAAGTATGACATATCTTTAAGTCCAGTGGCTCGACAAATCACCAACTAATATGAAGTCTCATATTGAACGTTTGTCTCACGATGTAGTGACGTTTGAAGTAAATCCTGGCGTTTCATCTGTGCATATTTAGTATAACTCAGACGCCGAAGTCGATTGTTGCTTCATCAAGCATGATACTCTGCTATGATTCGCTGTGGTATACTGTGATGTGGCAATTCTGCTGTTGTATCAAATCGAGCGGTTTTCGCCGACGAGCAGGTGCTCTATAGGACTTCTAAAGTCTGTGCGAGTTGAGTGTTGAGTGCCGGCGCCAATAACAGCCGTTGAAAAGGAGTATTCGTAGAAAAGCTGCATTCACATCCAAAATGACCACATCGCTACATTGCTGTATTTATAAACACGATTAATTACCACATAACCACCCTTTGCTGACATATGAGTTACATAAGAATAACTGTTTTCACTGAACACTCTGTGCATTTGTTAGGTATTAGCTGCAGCCATCTCCAAGAAAACAAGCTTGGTTACTAGGTTTAACAAGTTAGGAACAGTTAGTTTGGCTCGACAGAGAAGCGTATTGAAAAATTATGAAGGAATGTTCCGCTCTAACTGTCTAATTATGGTTACTCCGGTTTTTTTTAGAGTGTATTCTTCAAACAGCCAATACCAACCATTTAATATTCGAATAATATTCTTTATTAAAATTCTCTACCACGGTGACTTTTTCACATTACTTTTGTAGTGTCATGACTGATTGCAACTTGGAAAATATCGACAATGGAACTTTTCGAGCAATGCGACACCTTCAAGGACTGTAAGTAGTGTTTATCATTTTTCACTTTTTTTAAGACATTTAAGCATGTCTTGGAGAGGGTGCGTCTAAATGGCTAATTAATTTCCTCTGTGCACTTAAAAATTGAGTACAAAACTTAACCGATTGCCATGTTTTCAGATTTTAAAAAAGTACATCGACCGTTCATAAATTAGTAATAAATGCGCTAGGAATTCGACCATGCACGCCACTGTTTTAGAGATAACTTTGTAGCCAGGCCAAAACCGCTTATGAGCTGATATTTAGCGGCAGAAATCCTTATTGGTATTCTTGGTTTTCACCCACGTGACTTTTGTCTTGACGACGGTTACTATCCACCATATTGGTGCCCAAACAATGAGTTACAAATGCGCTTGTACTAATGTGAGAGTGAGAAAGTAGAAATGGTCCTTTATGTAGTTTTCAGCCGTGGCAGCAGAAGTGATCGGGACAAAGGGATTGTATTTTATCGAATACCATCAGTTATTAAAAATGAGGTCTTCTTACGAAGAATAATTGACTTCAGAGAGGAAAGAAAAATAGATACAAGCGATAAGTCGCAGCGACACCATGTGAGAATAATGGTAAAGATAGACCAGCACGGACTCCCCAAGTGGCTTTCATGGGCGTGTCGCATTATCACCTTCAAATTATATATTTTGCTTCACAAGCATGTCTGAGAGGGATTTTTCCTTTTTATAAAAGATGATTGGAGGTTTTGTAGAATTTGTTTTCAGTAAGGGCTGATTGTGTATCAGACGCCACTGTTCTATCAATATTTGGTTTAAATTTTTAACTGCCGAGTGGTACGTCGTGACGAAAGGCAATAAACGTTGTGACCTTTCGGCTTTTGTGTATGTTTAAAGGCCGATTGTTAAGAGGCAAAGTTGACCCCTGACAGACACCTTTCTAGGATGCTTTCTGGGTACCCTCTTCCTTTAAGGCTTTGTTTAAATTTCAAACGGCCGACTTCAATTATTTTTTTCGAAGAGTTAGTTCCTGGAAATCTTCTTGCTTGCCTTTAATGAACCATATTTTACGCCTGGTTGGTGGCACGAGGCGAAGTGTGTAATTTGGAGAGTCTCGGTCTACTTCTGATGAGTCTTGATGTTCCAGATGGAATTTTTTGCGAATCCTTCCCCTTTTGAACACCGTGGTATCGAGAAAAGGGATTTGGTTGATTCTCTGATATTTCAGCCGTGAATTTGATAGTGGGGTGGAAATAGTTTGCCCGTTTGATGAACCGATTTATCTCTTTTCTGTCGCAATCCCAAAAGGAAAAAACGTCATTATTGTTACGTTTCCATTCTTTTGGTTTGGTTTCGCTTTGTTGGATTAATTTCTTTTCAATTTCCGCCATGAAAATATTGGCAAATGACACTGCTATTTTCATACCCAGAGCGGTTCCATGTTTTTGGAGGAAGCTCTCCTCGATGAATTAAAACGAATTTTCTCTCAGGCTTAGGCCGAGCATTTTCGTGAGGTACTGCGTTAGAATCGGTGCGTTATGATTGAGGAACTTTTCGTATGTTTCTCCTACTATATTCGTTCCTTTTGCTTGACGTATATTTGTGTACCACTTTCTGCGGCAATCCAAATGTCTGCAAGAGGATCGTTCATCCGCTGCTAATATCTCACCTGCGCCACAACTACAATCTTGTTAACAATCTCTGCTCCTTGAACCGATGTTACGAAGCCAGACACCATTTGATTGTACGCCTTAAGACTTTTGAATGCTTTAAATTGCTTATTTGCGCAATAACTTGTCTCCAGAACTAAATAAGGAAGAAGGTCCAAGACTTCTATCGGGGACAGACATTCTGAGTTAAACTCAGTGCTCGCTTCGAATGGCCACTGGTTCGACACCAACCACATAGATTTTCGTAAAATATTGCTCTCGAACGTGGCTTTCTAGGCCCTCCGCTTAGTTCAAAAGCACAGGTATCCTATGAAGAATATTCTCTTGTGATTCTGGGTTTTTTTCACCAGAAATGTCCATGAAACAAAGTATTTGAAAGAGGGCACGGTGGAGATGGGTATTTTTTTGCATTAAATTTCACACCTGAGATGAGCACCAACACGTCGGACGCTTAATTTGCATGAATGTATGACATCAGCTACAAACCGAGAATTAACAATACTTATAATAATTTTTTGGGTAGTAACTCCAAATTGTTTATACAGATGACCAGGAGATAGAAATGAAATCAACCAGAAAGCAAAAAAATATTCACACGGAGGAGTTCATCGTCGAAGTTTTTAGTGAATTTGTTCAGAATTAGCCACGCTATTCTTGGTTATTCGATTTGCAATGTAATTCTAAGTCTGAGTTCAACAAAGGGAAAAGATCTGGTACTAAGTTTTATGTTGCGAACCCTTAACTTGTCACGTCCTTGACTTCGGACCATAACAGACAGGTTTATCTGTGGTGAGATCAACCTGGATTAAGCGGCACCATATTATTGTTTGAAATGTGTTCGTTTTCAGCCGTCTGTCTTCCAATAAGCTGACTCGTATACACCAGGGTACAATGGAAGGACTTACGGATCAGCTCAGATATTTGTAAGTACATTGGCTGTACATTGCTTTTCTTTACCTGGTACTGGGAAGTGCGAGTTTGAAAGGAATAACTTAACATACCTCGGTTATTTTGTGGACAATGGAAATCTTCAGTGTACTTAGGGTCCAAACCACGGGTAGCGCCTCTTAACTTCGCCCATTTTATTTTTCTTTTTTATTGAAATGTTGGACCCACCATACTCACTCCCTCACCCTTCGATGCCCACTAGAAGATATCTCAATTCTCTTTACTCTTGCTAATAGGTACCTTTCAGGAAACGAGCTAGAGACAATAGGTGATGGCATTTTAAAACGACTTAATTATCTCGAAATATGGTGAGTGATTTAAAAATGCTTGCATAAAACAGGTGAAACGGGAAAAATTTCGGCAAGGAGCAGATTTAAATTGGCAGAAATAAAGAAAGATTTTATAGCATGGCATAAAGAAAACAGTCACTCATCGCAACACGCCAACTTTATTTCAGATGACACATATACCCTCGATCATTTACGAGTTACGATGGAAAACAACAGAAAGGAAATTGACAAATACAAAATCAATGAGGAAGTAAAAATTACAAGACAAAGAGAAAGAAGGAATGTGCGTGTACTGATCAGAGCCCATTACAACTCCTTTATATTTTTCTGTTTGCTTGATTCGTATAGCAATATGGACTACAACAAGGTGACATCTGTACCAGATTTAACAGGTCCTGAAACTATTTATCGATTGTAAGTAGCTATTTTACCTTTTTTATACATAGCACTTTTTTGTGTCATGCATCGAAACAAATCTCATCTCATGGATTCCTTACGAGTGGGCAAGGTGAACGTGTTAGCGATAAATTTAACTCGAGATGTAACGTTTAAATAAAAGACAGCTTCAAAACACATTTAAGAGCACCGAATATAGAGATCTTCTCTACGTAAATGAAACTTGTTATTTCAACTCCGATAAAAAATGAAAAACCCTTCTCCTAAAAATTGCCTTCCTCCCACAAAAAAAGCTCGAATTTAGCCTTTAGCCATGTTCGCAAACTAAAAAAAGAAACCTTCGTGAGAAGTGAAAACCGCAATCAAATCCGGTTACCATGACGTCATTTTTTATGATTGTTCTTTCAAAATATATTATGTTAATAAAAGTAGCATGTTATGCTATCAGCCTTGTTCGATTTTTTTCCAAATTGTGCTCAAAACTATGCTCGTTAATAAAAATTAAGCAACTTTTTGCAAAAGCGTGCTTTTCAAAAAAACAAAACAAAACAAAACAAACAAATCTAAATTATTCATTTAGTGTTAATAAAGCATTAAATCTTCTTTATTTTTTAGTGAACTTGGTCTGATAGGACATAATTCACTGCTACACTTGAATCACACTAGAAGCGGTGAATTAATATGTCAAAATGTACGATGTCAGGATGATATTTCTCTTCGACGCTATTTTGTTTGCCATGAAAGTAGGAACCGGGACGGAAGCAATGTTTGCTTCCGGTGTGTCTAGTCCTCTTGACGGCGAACGACTCAGTTTTTGGTAACCTCTCTCCCTAAGACATCTCAAAATTGCAAATAGTCTGAACCGTGGACTAAACTTGGAAATATTCAATTTCAGAGATAAAACAAGTGATGAATGAAAATTATTCCTTCATAAACAAAAAGAAGAAAAAAAAAAGAAAAAAAAAGAAAAAAACAAATGTGCTGATTATGCTAGCAGTGCTTCGTTTTATAAAAAGGAAAGAAAATCACTCGTTTTTTCCAAATTATGCAAAATTGTTCTAGCACAATCTATAAAAACTTGACTAAAGTATACTGGCTCATGTAATTCTTTCAGTTCTAGAAAGCTTCGTAGCTGTAATTTACCTCCGAGGTCCTTTTATTTGAATTTATTATTAGTTAAATTGGTCACTTTTAAATGTTTTACAAAATAAGCTACTTCTGTCCGTCTAAAGTTGAACATGCCTGTAACATTTTAAAAATCTTGAAATCTGCTGTTATTTGGAAAATCGTTGATATATCATTAGCTTTATCATTTCCATGTATCAATCTTTTAGCAGTCACTGATACACTTTCCATCTACTGATTGATGATCTATCGATTGATCAATTCCTCTATTTATCTATGTCTCTAGAAAAAGTGACTAAAATAATCATAGAAAAAAAATGAGACAACTGAAAGTTAGACATGTCATACATGTGGCCTGTACTGCGTGGGTGTGGCCACCATATGGGTTATTCTTTTATCATCTTATTGAACCAAAATATATTTTCTCGATCAGCATCAGAAATTCGAACTTTACTTGCTTAGACTCTTATGTTCGTCTCAGAAATCTACAACACAATCGAATCACAGATTTATCGAGGATTGTCACATCTGGAATTGTAAAAGTGTATGAATTGTGAGTATTTGGTCTATATTAAACTGAATGTTTCATTTTAGGTTATTTGCCAAGAAACCAGCTTCTTTTCCTCTGGATGCCTTGGGTTATATTCAAGAGTGCACCAGCTCTACTAACGTTTGAAAATGCTGTTTTTATCTTGTAGATTGTTGGACAACAATAAGATCGATCACCTTCCACCAAACATGTTCCAGAATACTCTCGTATTTGGAAACATGTGAGTAACAGAAACCACGACTGCAACGGAAGTCACGCGTAATTGCTTTCATCATTTATTTAGAGACATCCACACGCCTACGGTTCTAAACATGAGCAGGAAAATACATATTAGAGAACAAAAACTTACAAACAAACTAACAATAAATAAAGATATTAACCTTAAGGGTGCATAGCTTTAAAGGAAAAGAAAAAAAAAAAAAAAAAAAACGAAAACGACGACGCTGCTCTTTAAAACCTGACAAATTACCTAACATAATTACATATTATTACGCAATGGTACAAACATCAATCCGTATGACAATAAGTTTCGCGATAAAAACAGCCATGATGGAGCTGTGACTGTCATTGGATAGCGTTACATAAAAAAATAAGTAACACTTGATGTACAGAAAACCTGGGTTTGATCTTTGAATCATTTACTTTAATTGAGGATGGTTCTTCTTCTAACCCATTAAGCCCTGAAAGTGACTAGCATTCTCTCCACGATATCAGCCCAGAATCAAACATTAAGGTCATGGGAATAAAGGAAATGATCACTTACTAATGGAGTTCTTAATTGTTAAACAAATTATCCATGTTAGCATCTTAGGAAATGTCAAGAGAACAGTATAATCTCAGGATGCAAAGAATTAAATTCGTCTCCCTTTAAGATTTAGGCGTCTATTTTCTTGACGATAACTTTATTTTTCTCGTCTTTCCATAGTGATTTGTCGTTCAACAAGTTGCAGTCATTACCTGATAACGTGTTTGCTAGACTCAATCAATTAAACATTCTGTAAGTAAAAGGTGAAAACCAATGTAGAAAGTAATCAGCTCACTTGTTCCAAATGGAACAATACAATATTAAATAATTCATCAGGTCGAGATCGCGGCCTCTTAAAACGTTTACCTTCTTAAACAACTGAGTATGTAACCCAATACGGAGTGAATTTCATAATTGACTTTGTGGTGCAATCCTTGATACTTGTCTTCAAGAAGTTTGAAATAAATAAGGCATGCTACTCGTGACAACGGCTTATTGCAATTTCCAAGTGATGAAAACACCTATATTAAATGAAACAAACGAAACAGGACATAATAAAAGGATTATTTCCAGTGACTCAGACAATAACCCGCTCCTGTTCTATGTTTGATATCTCAGTATTATTTTATTTTTCCTGTTTTTAGGATGCTAACCTTCAACAGGATCACTTACATTAATAAAAACACATTCAGTGGACTTTCCGGTTTGACCACACTGTAAGTGTCTTCTATATATTAAACTTCTAAAGAGGTGTAAGTCAGGGGTGCAAATAACGTTTTTCATAAGCAGCGTAGTAGGTAGAGTAGTTGTATAGTGGTGTTGTAGATAACTGTGCCTGAAAAAGAGGCCTTTATGCCCCTTTCCCCTAGGAAAGTCAGAGGACATTGTCCCTCAGGAAAAAAAAAACAATCGAAATATATAGCTCAAAAGTGTTATTTCCACCATTATGAGCATCAAAAAGTTTACTTTCCAAGGTATTTCTAACCAATCTGAATGCTTCGTTGTGGAGCGTTCGTGGAAAACCGAAGCAAATTCGGAAACCAATGCCTTGCGGGGAGGCTCTCGTTTCAAGAAACCCTTCCTCCCCCCTCCCACCGACGGCCCGTGACTTTCACGAGAGCCTGGCTGCAAGCTGAACATACGGCGGTTAGAGGTCTGATGGGCAGCGGTAGATCACCAGTTAACTGCTTTCACTGAAACCCTGTCAGTACGTCCACTAAAGTGCAGGAAACAAAAGAGTCGCTGTGCCGCATGTAAAAGGGTAGTCATTTTTAAAAATGATGAAAAACCTCTCAATCTCCCATAAGTTCTCTATTTAAAAATATTTACACTCAGTTCAAACATTGAATTCTAGAGAAGTGTAACTCAGGAGTTTTAATAACTTTTTCTACAAGCGGTAACGCATGATATCATGCTCACCCTTATCCAATATTTTCCTAGTATCAATACAAGTATTTGAGATAGAATGTGTGCTCCTATTGGTTAGTGAGGTGTACGTGCATTTCACAAAGGTCTTAGAAGACGCCGTATCAATTAAAAAGTTTCTTTATCGTAGAAACAGTAGTCGTGAATTAAAAGTGAATAATTTGGCTTGTTAACTCATTTATTCAATTCATAATGTATTTAACTATGAAACTGTTATGAGTGGCTCATTTATGACGTCATGTCCCTAATCATTTTTCTCATAAGTTAGGAGTTTTCTTTTCAATGTTATTGCTAATCAGTGCTAATCAAAAACAACCCTACATTTACTCTTAAAGTTTTTGATGAAACTCCCTGCCTGGAATACATAATGTAAGAATAGACTTTGGTTCAGAGATTTTCCTGACATCATGAAATGTTGTAACATGTGTATTGTAGTGTATCATTACTAATTACACAATAAGGTATGAGTTGCTTCGGCTTCTAAGATATATCCAGTTTGCCGTTATTCAGCAAAAGGATTATATTTTCTTCTTTTCTTAATCAAGAATATTTTGATTAAGAATACAAGGTCACCGAACGTATTTTTTTCCTTAGGCTTCTTCACAGTAACCCAATTAAAACTATTGAAAGCAAGGCTTTTGACGGACTTGCACTGGAGCAGTTGTGAGTAAATTAACGAATAGACTAGTTCCCTTTAGAGCTCTGAAAAGGAGATAAATATCATGAGCTGAACGTTTTCTTGTCTCTTCGGTCTATGTTAGAAGAAAAAACAAACATATTTTAAAAAACCGCGCTGATATCGGAAGCTTTTACAATGTCTATCAAATCGTTTCTTGTGTAATGAGGAGATATTTTATTTTCAGAACCATCTTTGATAATCCTTTCAACTCGTTACCAGATGGAATTTTTGACAAAATGACAAACCATACCAAAGTGTAAGTCAAGCCGTATGGCTTAAACAGACATCGTCTAATATTTTATTGTAGTCGTAGACTCCTAGATTATGGGCACTTTAAGATATACTTTATATATTCTCCGGCTAACCTGGAAACTTCGTACTGCTAATTAAATTCCATAAGTTATCATAATAATTTCCAAAAGCGTTTTCAAACACACCTAAGAACACGAGACAAAATGACGTATATTTACGAAAAGACGAGAGCACCCTTGACGCAGAAACAAACCTATTAGTATTATTATCATCTTCATCATTCTTATTATCTTCGTCGTCGTTGACATCTTCATCATTATTGTTACAGTTGTTGTGTTGTAGCTTTATTTGTGTAGCCTATCTAGAATCGGTTTTCGTACCCTCAGTAGTTTTCACTTCCGAGTAATTTGAGGGGAGGAAGGGAATTATCGGGTGATGGTCTGTCAACTAATCCAAAAGAAGAAGAAAAACCTCAAGTCACTCAAAGTTATTGAAACCTGAGTTTGTTTTGGCGACGTGGGCCTTTTGACTAATTACTAATTACCACCATCCTCATAATGATAACGTTGTCTTTTACATCCAATCAGTTTCGATTCAGGTCACTGACATGTTTGTCTACAGGTCACTGACATGTAAAACTCTTCGCCAGCTGCCTCAGGGAAAATATGTGTCACAAATGTAAGTAGGCCTAAACTTTTTTATACACCCTATAGAATCAGCTTCGACATTTTCCATTGATGGACATCTGCACTATCGATTAAGTAGCTTCTTTGACTTAAGAAATTTAATATATGTAGTTATTAAAAGTTAGCCGTAGTATAAGAATAAAGGCTTTCTTAGTCTAGTCATGATACGTTGAAGGTCTTGAAAATAGCTGAAGCGTTGTCTCTAAAAGACAACGTCGTCCAGTGCAAATTCCCTCCTGGCTTCTGTTGCACCAAAATTTCCATGAATCTTAACCGTTTTCATGTTATTTTCATGAGGGTTTTAGTTTGATTTCAATATTTTTGGGGATTGCTCACTTGGCTAAATTCATCAGTGCGCACCTCGAAAGTGAGGCTGGTGAGGGGGGTGGGGAAGAAATCGAATTTGACTACGTAAACATGCGTGGGGCCTTTTGATTGGTATGCAGCCTTAGTGCCTGAGCTCATATGACATGAATCAAAAATATGGTAAATGCGGGAATTTTCTGAAGCATACATTTCGTACAGCGGTTTTAACTATTTGCATTTACTGGATATGATCTCAAGGTTAGAGCAAATTCGGTCCTGCACTTCACTGGGTTTAAACCATTTTCAAATCCAATGCTAGGTTACGGGTTAATTGTCATCTCATTTCCAGGTCTCTTTTGGGGAAACTCAAAATGTTTTTTCCACGCGAGTTTTTGATTTATTGTTATTATCCAATCTTCAGTGAGTGTGCTCCCTCGACATCTCTGTATCTCATCTTGGACAACGACCTAAGTAACCTCAGATCTGGCTTTTCGCACTCAGGTTTTGTGTGCCACGACTGTACAACCCATAAAAAACATAGTTTTACAACTAAGTGTAATAACTGCAGTCTCTGTCCAGTTGGTACCTACATGTATACTGATGAAAATCGCTGTCTAGAGTGTCCTGCAGGTAATGAGAATAAACACCTATTTCATCGTTAATTTAAAAAATTATATAAACAGTAACATATAAGCGCCGTTTCTTCAAAGTATCCAACAGCGCTTTATATCATAATACTGAAAGTTATTTGATAAAATAATGAACAATAGGATATCAATTAAAAATGTATTTCAAGGAAAGGTCTAAGCCACATAATTGAACTTTATGATATGTCAAATATAAATTCGTTTAAAAAGAAGAGCCTTAGGCTTAAATTTAAAGGGGATTAACGACTTGCACCTCCTCATAACCACTGGAGGAGAAATCCATAATACCGGTGCATTATATAAATAAAGCTCTTTGACCAAACAACCGAAGACTGTATTTTGGTGTTGCAAGTAAAATCTACAAGAGGATGGCAAGGTTCTTAACGTTCCTGTGAGTAAATAGGAGCCATATCATTTGACGATTTGAAAGTTAAAAGTAGAGTTTTATAATCACTCTGCTCGGCCACTGGTAGCAGGTGTATCTTTCTCAACTTTCTCAATATTATAACCAAAAGCAAACAACAAAAAATAACTTAATGGTTGCGCAAACCATAACATTTATAAAAATGCTTCCACTCTGTAATTGTATTTAATGATTGAATCCCTCTTTGTTTTATAATATGATATCTTCACAGGTGGCTTTTATCAGGATGAAATGGGACAAATTGAATATAAGAGATGCAGTAATGGTACATTTGTTTCGGAAGAGCAAAGTCCTGGAACCAAAGCTGCCGACTGCGTGGCCTGTCCATATGGTAAGTGCAGTGTTCGCTTTCGGCAAATTGCAATTTTCTTCGATTAAGATACGCTTTGGGTGACACTGAGTTTTAATAAAAGGACTGTCTCTAATTGTAGTTGTTGTTGTTGCTATTTATTTTAAGCGAAATGCAAAGATATCTTATTTTAAAAAAGTATCCATTTACTTCGCCAGCGAAATCTTATTTTTTGATTGACTCGTAGAAGAGACGAAATGAATCCCTTTTTATGAATGCTTTATTATCATTGCTAAGAAAGAAACACTTTTTCCCAGGTACGATCTCCAACGAGACTGCTGAATATCGTGCATGCAGATGCCTACACAAATTCTATCGGTTGGATCGTTTTGGCCCGTGCACAGCATGTCCGCCAAACGGTTTTGTTTGTGAGAAAGATACAGCAATACTTGCTCCTAACTACTTCTGGAAATGGACAGAACAGTCTGAAAAAGAACATTTCAAGGATTTTGTTAACAATATTCATTCTTTTGGACCACACTACATCAAGACATATTCCACGTTCGATACCTCACTTCCGAAGCCACTGAAATGTCCCCATGCAAAGTCCTGCAAGGGTGGAATTGATTCAGAATGTCATCAAGGATATCAAGGGACTTTGTGTGCAACCTGCTCTGAAAGCTTCTATTTTCGCTTCAACTCTTGTTTGAAATGTCCCCGGTTAGCTGTAACAATAACTTCATCCATCTTGGTAATTGTTCTTTTTGTTGCTGTGTTTCTAATGGTTCTTTGGGGTGACTCCAAACGTGCAGACAATAACCGGACAGTTGCAGATGTCATCATGTCGTGCTTTAAGATTGTGATTGGTTTTTACCAAGTCATTGCCGGTATTTTCTCGGCATTGGCGAAAGTCCAATGGCCAGTCGCTTTGATCTCAACGGAGAAGGTTCTAAAAGTATTTGAAGGGAACATCTTGCAGTTTGCCCCTCTTAGTTGCATTCATACTTCTCTTCGGCTTGATCAGCTTGGAAAGTTCACGATGATTGTTGTCATGAATGTCTCACTTGTTGGCCTGATTTTCTTGTATCTATTTCTTAAAAAGCGCCACATCGTGAATAAGGAGGACCTTGGCGAAGACCAGAAAGTTATGGAAGTTGAGAGTCTGAAGAAATCTTGCTATCGGAACATTTTCCTATTGTTGTTGACGACCTACCCCACGACAAGCAAATCCATCATTCAGATTCTTCCTCTTCCTGGTGCCTGTGTAGAAACTTGTTTCACTGACGACAAGAGCGACTGCATCTTCCTGCTGAGAGCTGACCACTCCATCCAGTGCTTTACTCCTCGCCACAATTTGTACTGGCTCATGGCGTCTATTTTGGCATTATATCCCGTGGGATTTCCACTTTTGGTTCTGTTTCTCAGTTACAAGTATCGCGAGTCCCAGGAAAACGAAGCAATTTCTTTCGGACTCAGAGTGTTCTTTGAAAACTATAAGAAGAAATTTTGGTTTTGGGAAATCACAGAGATGTATCGCAAGCTGATTCTAATCTCGTTGATTTTTCTTTTTGGATCAAAGAATCTCTCTCAAATCGGTCTTACAGTTCTGACAGTTAGTGTCTTTGGAGTTATCTACACCTTATTCCGACCAATCAAGAATAAGTTTGAAGACCGCTTGCAAACGTTTGTTCTTTGGATCATTTTCTTTGACGTTTGTCTTGGTGCAGTTTACACAAACTGGGATGAGAGTCAAGGCGAGGGCAAGAACGACTCCATCTTTGTAAACGTCCTGTTCGTGGTCCTCAACGCCTCTGTACTGTTGCTTGCCATAGGTAAGTTAACATGCTGCTTTGTTTTCGGTATTGAATGTGTATTTTACTCATTTGCCAAATAAATGAAGGAACGCTAGCTTGGAATGTGGGGGTTTTCTCAATCCCTCAGCTTTCTCGTTTTAACCGCAATGAAAGTATTATAATAAAATCATAAAGTAACCATATTCAGGTTATTTAGGATACTTGACTCTCTATAACACTGGCTCACACAATTGTAACCTTAAAACGGATCGCGATGTTTGGTCAATTCTTCTCGCAGCTTAACTTTTCCTGTAAGTGGAACTTTTAGACGTTATAATCCTGACAGCTGAGTTATTTTCTCTATTCATGTCATGTAGTGTTCCAACATTAGAGTATTGGTAGAAGACAGAAAACTGTGAGGTACAAGTAGAGTATAATGAATATTGAAATCTTAGAAAGGAATCCAAACCACTGTGCTAACGAAATGTCAACACCCATTCTCAAAACGCTTCTTAGCGAGAGCGAAAACAAAGACAAATTTCAGAAAAAAAGGGACACCTTACTGTTTTAAATGCTTTCGTGTGAGATTTGAATTAATTGTTTAAATGATGAAATCCGTCTCTTTTTTCTACTTTGCAGGAAAAGGAATTCTACATGTGAAGTCCATTTGGAAGTACATTACCTTCAACCCGATCCGATGTTTCATTTTCCTTCGCCAAGGAGTATCACATCTCAAAAATAGAATAGTCAGAAGAACAGGAACATTCGATGAATTTTCACACTTAATTGAAGAAAGCAACTGAAGAACGTCTTTGAAATGTTTGTCTTAAAACTATTTTGCTATACCTCATGAAATATCTCGCTTTATATGGCTTAAACATTTAGAACTTGCGTTGAAATCTCCCTGGCTATTGTGAGAATTCTGGATGACATTTCATTGCAACTAAAGGCACTAACGACTCCCGCAAAGGCTGTGTTCTTCAAAACGCAATGCGTAGTTTTTTTTTAGTCTTTAATTTAAACTGAGATAATAAGATAGATTATTTTTAGATTATAAGATAGTTTATTTTTAAGGAAAAAAAAAACAAAAAAAAAAAAACAATGAGAACGTTTTGGTTAGTTCGAGCAGATGTGACTTTGACGCACCATGGCTACTGAGTTAATCTCTCTCTTTGAATGTTTTGTATAAAGTCGTTAGAAACCTTTATTCGTTGGAAGCATATAAAAACTACAAATGGCGTGGCACGTTAAATTTGGACAAAGTCAGGACTGTACCATGGATATTAAATAAGCACGGCTTTGCTCTTCTTTTAAAAGTGTCTCTAATATATACATTCCACCTCACACCACGAGTCTGCTCTTTTTTAAAACTGATTTTAAAGGACTCAATTTTAAATAAGCATTTATCCAGTGCCTCGTTGACTAATTAAACCTCGTGGAGGTTAAATACTTTGCTCCTTTTAAGACGAGCCAGATTTTTCCCTTATGTCTTTTCATCGGCAGCAGTAAGGAAATGCGTTTGGGATGAATTAAGGAATGTCGCAGTCTCGGCTAGAGGGTATAGCAGATGATGTTAAAGTGCATCATTTTGAATCACCATGTCACCCAAGGAGGTTGCCACGAGTATCGAATTACAAAGCAAAAGCATGCTCGTGATATACGCCACAGTTCGTGCCATACGCTTCGCGCGTAAGGTAATGCGATGTTTAACACAAGGCTGAATCCAATGAGACCGGAAGCAGTTGGAGAAAAAAAAAATCATCCTTTTATTCTTTCAAATATCTGAATGAAAATAACTCACACAGCCCAGACTGTGGCGACGATTGCTTTAGGCCGAGTTTTTTCCATGCAGTTAATGTACTTCAGGAGAATAGCCAATAGCAAAGAACCGAAGCAAAAAGGCTAAGCGTTGTCAGCGACAATTCTTCACAAACTATTTCTGCCCTGCAGTGAAAAAAAAAAAAAAAAAAAAAACCCAGGTTGATTTTTCCAGCAAGGCTGATTGGACAACTAAACCGACTAAAATGTCGATGAGAGCAAACGAGAAAATGAAAATGTTGATAACAGTTCGGACAGCACAGAATTTAGGGATAACCAGTGCGATTCCATTCTCCAGTATGGCTAAAACTACCGGCACGGGATTGACGACGCAGATGGCAATGAGATAATCATGAGGTGTTGACGATAGCTTTAAGTTTGGACAGCTCTTGAGAGAGAGTTGAATCTAGACGAAGTGTTTTTGTTTTATCGGTGTAGTTCATTTGATACCTTGATGTACGCCCTAAATAGATTTATTTTGGTATCTACGCTGATATTAAGAACGTCAACTTGAATTAATTGTGGGAGTGGAGCTGTTATATTGTCTAACGATATGAAGAAGAAATACGAGAAGAGAGTGGAGAAGAGAAGTGTTTTCTCGCTGAAGCTATCGTAAAAGTTTTTCTTAAAATGAGATATCATTAAAATAATTTTAAAAAATGTTTATTCTAGAAAAGTTTCACCGCTCTCATGACCATGAGGAACGAGCATCAAAAGCGTTTTATGGGTCACACACTCTATGATAAGAATAAAATGTTTCCGCACTTATGTAAATACTGCAATAAAAGTAGAAAATAGATCAGAGCATACGCTTATCACAGGTCTTAAATGTCATATGGAAAGTTAAGCTCGGTAAAGAAATATGAATTAGTTTGCCTTTTGATAAGGAAATAACTTTTTAACGGGTCGGCAATGATAACCATGCAGCTGTCATACACTTCACTGAAGCATCGTGGAATCACGATATACAGTGAGCGCTAGACTGTATTGGAATTAATGAAGTTTTTCGGTGAATGGAAAAAGCGCTCTTTCTCTCTTTTCCTTTTCAATCAGCACACCAACGAGTCTACGACGAGTCGGACGTTCAAGGGAGCACAGTGTATAGGGAGGGGTTCAAAAGTTTCCGTATGGTTAGCTAGCTCTCTTGGAAAATCTTCCTTATTCAAATCTAAATAATTTCTGCTACAGTTTGCCATTTTTGGCGCAAATGAATTCGCTCACTTGATTGTTACCTGTTTCTGTTTCCTGTTTCTGCTGCCAATCTTAGATTCCACGCTGTTTCTTTCATGAGTTGATTCCCTCACCTCAAAAATTTATTCTATGAGTTTGCTCAAAATTACTAAGCGGAGTTATCTTTAATGATAAATTTTGAAACCTTGTTTTACAATATCAGCTGTTGCAAGACGCGAACGACCCTTTTGATGTATTCTCCCGCCTAAGAAAATTGCTTTCCCTTGTGCTTCTCGTCTTTCTCTTGGGTCTTGACTCATGTTCATCTTCTAACGTACCTTTCCAACAACTTCACCACAGAGAAACATTTTATTATTTTCATTGAAAAGTTGAACTCTTCCTTTATACAGGTTCGATTCTATAATAGATTGAAGAATCGAATAAAAGGAGAATGTCTTAACGTAGTATGTAAACGCATGCATTTATTTACGACTCTCTTTTGTTTTTAGAAACATATAAGACTTCATCCCAACAACATCAATAGCGATAGTGGAATCGACATTCCCGAAGCTTGGATACCCACGATCAAACAACACAACAGCCGATTTATGAGAACCTATGAGGGAACATATCTAACAACCGAAATAATAATTAGGATCGAAATGCACCAATAGCAGCATACCAACTGCGCTCTTATCAACATTTTGTTCGGTTTAGTTGTCCAACCAGCTTTTGTGGTTAACATTGATGGCAAAATCAACCTGAATTTCTACGGCAGCGTTCTCTTTACGTATCTATACACAGAATATTTTGTTTAGGATTGTCGCTGATAATGCTTAGCCTGATTGCCTGGGTTCTTTTCTATTGTCTATCCCCCTCAAGTACATTAACCGCGTAATTAAAACTCGGTTATAGCAATGGTCGCCACCGTCTGGGCTCTATGGTTGATCGTTAAGTATAAATGTAGAGCATCGAAAGTATGAAACAGTTTTAATTTTCGCCATTTGCTTCTGGTGTCACTGATTCAGTCTTGTGTTTAACATCGCATGTATTTCAAGATATTTAAGATAATAAGGCGTCACGAACGACAAATTCACGCGCAAAATAAAGTCAACATGGAGATTCACGCGCGTGACAACGGAAGCTGTTCCACGCAACAGCTGCAAACGCTGAACACACGTGAGACGCGTACGGCACGAGCTGTAGCGTATATCACGAGTGAGTGCTCGTGATTTTTAATTCGTTACTTATGGCAACCTCCCTGACTGAGATGCATACTGATTGAAAAATATACATTTTTTGATAATCACTTATACCCTCTCGCCGAGACTGTGACATTCCTTAATTTATCCCTAAACCCATTTATTTACTGCTGGTGATGTAAAGACGTAGGTGAAAAATCTGGCTTGCTGTAAAAGGAGCAAAATATTTACCTTCAATTAGGTTTATCAGTCAACGAAGCACTGGGCAGAAAAGGTTCACCAGAGACAGTTCCTTGAAGAGAGAAGAAGAACGCCTTTACATCTGTAAGCTTAAAATACTGCCACTGAGCCTGCTTCTCAAATGCGGCGGATCAAACTGGATAATAGAGACTGTTTACAGCTACCAACAAATTAATTCACGGTAGAGGCATGAAAATAATCAAAATAAAGATTACTTAAAAGTACTCAATATCGACCAAATGATAACAAGATCGGTGTAAAAATATAAATTAAATTGCCTTTTACGAGGGAGAACTCTTCAACCCGTTGAAAATAATCAGCTATCGTTGATTGCACTGAGACATCGTGGGATAAAGTGAGCGCTAAACTTCTTGAGGTTATTCGTATTTTTCACATTCTCAGAAAAAAACGCATATTCTCTCTCTTTCTTTCCAATTGGAACACACCACTGAGTCCTAAGTGAGCTATGTTGGACATCAAAGCAGATCACTGAAAAGCGCAGAGCATTGCACTTTTACAGAAGGTGTCAATGGGGTGATTGTGGTCTGGCCAGTGTTTCTTTTGACAAACCTGACTACAGTATTTCACCACTTTAAATTTTGAATATTGCAAGAACTATGCTCTCTCCCACTGAACTTGGCCACAGCCATTTCATTGATGAGTCTTGTAGCTGTTACTGTCGACTACTCTATGTCCCACGCCTGAATAGTCGCTGACTGTTTCCCAAACGACTACGGCCCTGATTCCTTCTTCTAGTACACTCGCGAGCAACGTATCCAGAGCTACCACAAACGAAACAATAGTCACGGTCCTCTCCTCTTCCACGCTCTTCACAATCATGACAACCCCAACTTGGGGTTCTCTGGCTGGTAACTACTTCCATGGCCTCTGCAGGGGGATCGGCCCAAGTTTGGTTTTGCCGCCTGACCGCTTTGAGGTCGTTAATCTCTGATTTCATCTGCCGTATTTCAGAGACAATCTTTTGTCTCCCGTCTGAACTTGGGTTCCTGGCTCTCTGTTCCCCTCCCTCCTTAGGAACTTCGCAAGCGTTCAGTTTAGCCCTTTTTTGGTGTTCATTTGCCAATTTTGTGGTTCGTTCATCTTGCTGTGAAGCTAGTGCATTAACTTGTTTCATAAGTTCATCATCAGTTATCCCTGGGGTACGAAGGGTCATTCTTAATTTGGATGCTAAAATATCATCACAAAGACCAGATTCGAAGGACTTTACAAATGTCTTCTGAATCAGCGAAAGGCCATAATAAAACACACAATCCGATTCCTAACAGGCGAAATTTACTTTATTGCGCAGGCCCAAAGCACGGAGTAGGAATTGCTGTGGTGATTGTTCTAGAAACACTTTTTTTCTTGTTTCCCCTATATATCGGACTCTTTCAGCACTCGTTATTCTTAATCTTCCTCAGCTTTTTCATTGCAGGACAGGTAAATATGTTGTGATCGTGCGGTTTTATATAACCCATACCAGACTTTTACTATCCGTTTGCGAAATCTATGCTCCACTATGTAAAATCACACATATACATGAGCTATATTTTCTTTACAGCTTCAATAAATTTATTTTCTTCTTCTTTTTTTCTTCAATCGATCGATTGTGACAATTATTATTATTTAAAAAGTACGTATATATTCGTTCGTCGTCCTTGTCATTTGAACATAACATGCCTGAAATTCCTTACTTAACAAATAAACAGGAGTAGTTGCTCAAGACATGCGTGTGCGACATTTCATCGCCTTCCATTTTGCTGTCGACTTCTTTCTTGCACTGTAAAATGAAGAGAGCCAATTTGAACCCAAAAGCCAAATTGGGCCCGATGTCTCGAGGGCTAATTTGGCCCCTCGAGGCTCGTTTTGAACTATTGAAGCCAAAACGGGTCGGACAGATACCATTTTGACCCCTCCAAAATCTTAACTGGCCCAAATGAATTCTACTTTGGAACCTATTCTAAATTTACCAATTTGGCCCTAACAAGGTGCAATTCTTGAAATGACTGATAATCAATCCAAAACTGTCAACAATTTTGGTCACATAGAAGTCCCATCACGGCTTGAACGACACAAGAACGTAGGAATTCCGGAATGTTATAAGGGCTATTTACCAGTAAAAGTAGATCTTTCACTCGGTCGAAACTGGCACAATAAACTATCGATTGGCTTACTCAACTTAATGCTGTGAATTTTTTAAGAAGTAAAATTTTGTTGTATGAGGGATTTCTCTACAAAATGCGTCCTTCGTTTGCTAGTGCGTCTAGTCTCCTTCTACGTATCTAATTAGAACCTAGACCGCGTGCGTCGGACACAATAATGAATTACAGCAGGGAATTCATGTACCACTGAAGAGACTGTTTCTTGGCTCCAATCGCATGGAATGAGACTTAAGAAAGGTTAGGTAAGCGAAAGAAATTTGCTTAACAACGTTTTATTACAACTTTACATACATAAACTTGACCGCTCCGTTGATCTTTGTTCGTATTTTATCTTGCAGAGAAGGATGGTTGCGATGGCCAAGATCTCCTTACTGCTTCCTTATTATAAAAGAGCGTCTAAAGTTCAAGAAATTGATTGCAATGAACACTGAACGTGAGTTCTTCGTCGGTACGATAATAACAGATAATTAGACGCATGCGTGGTTCGCCTTTTCTCCTGAACCTTGTTGAGTCTCAGCGGTTTCACAACTAAGGTTATGTGTTCTAATTTTGGCGCCGAGAAATAGAGACGGTTACAGTTCGAATACTTGCGTTTGCACAAGGCGGACTTAACTTCTTTCAAGATTCTCTGATTTTAGGATCTCTCACTCTGAATTCTTAATCTTTTTTTTTCTTGCAAAGATGAACTGATATTTTTATGTCTATGTCTTTGTTCGTATCCACTTAAGCTGATTTTTTGGCTCTTTCTCTTTCAGCGTGCAGAATCAAGTCCTTCGAGTAAGACGTTTCAAAGAGCGATGAAGAAAATTTAGAAATGACATCGGCCCCGAAAGAAAAGGGTAGATCGTCCAAGGATCTCTGTCTTACGGAAGTGGCGACAGAACTGAGCATTGTCCAAGTAAGTTCTTATAGATTATACTTAGTTGGATGGTGAAGAGTACATCATCGATTACTTTCTTTCGATTTTATCCCAAAGGAAAACACATAAGGTGCCAATTGGTCAGTTAAAGAGGGGAAATGTTAGGGAAAGCACCCACAAAAAATGGTGAGATTTGCTATATTTTTTATTGAAATATACTAGAAACGTATTTACTTACGCCATGCACAAAGCAAAGTAAACCCAATGTTTAAATCTGGTAAATTAAAAAATTAGTGAATTGATAGGATGTTATCAGACAGTTAAATATTTTTTAAAACAAATATTTACCTGGGTTCCTCCCGGATGGCTTCCAAAATTCCAACTACCATTGAGGGTAAGAAAGTCTTCTTTGTTTTATTTTGTTTTTTTTTTTAGTCTACAAGCAATCCTTATCAATTCATGAATACTGTGCTAAAGCTGAAGTGCGTAGAGGGATGATGAAGTACATCATTGATGATCGTTGAACCATGATTGTGGTTTTTCTTTTTATGCACAGTTTGTTTACATGTATGGAAACTTTGTAGTCGCAAAAAATTACTGTTCTCCAACAACAAATCAATTTCCTCATTTGTTCATTTTTTGTACAGTTCTCTGCCTCAGTAGAGTTGGATGTCCAAGAGGGACATCTCACCAGCAACCCAAAGCACTCTGAGCAGCAGTGGATTGCAAAAAAAATATTGCAGAGTATCCTTGTATGGCTGGTCGGAGACAATTTTCGTGGTGCTGAATCTCTTGCATTAAACTAAAAGGGTGCAGAATAATCACTCAGACCTTTTAAGTTCATGACCTTTGTTCTTATGTGTTTGTCATCACATATGCATTGAATGAAGTGGTGACCATTTTTGAGGTATGAGTCCAAAAAACTTCCACTTTGGTAAAAAAAAGAATAGCTAAAATTACTGAGTCCATTTGCTTATGAAGTCCAGTTACAAAGGTTCAAGTACCTTGGGGTTGTATTTCATTTTGCCTTCTTTTTGTTCACTTGTTTTTTTTAATTTCCTGTTGTCAAACCATAGATAAATATTGCACATGGAATAACTGATTCTTTTCGATATTTTGGGAGTCATGCATTATTTTTTCAAGCCTTAAAAGGGAGACAAATTACGAGCATGGAGCCAAATTTCCACTTTCATTTCTGGTGTTTAAGCTCATAGTTTTAGAAAAAATCATATATATATATATATATATATATATATATATATATATATATATATATATATAACAAAAGCGCCAATGCAATCGTCAATGTAACGGCCGTAGAGCTTAGGTTTGGGGCCGTGGTATTGACTGAAAAATTGGTGTTCGATAAAACCTACGAGAAGATTGGCGTAGCTGACTCCCATTTTAATACCCATGGCGACGCCATCAGTTTGTTTGTAGTAGTTGCCACCGAATGAAAAGCAATTGAGTGTAAGTGCCAGTTCAGCTAGACAGAGTGGTGTTTCAGAGATAAGTTCCTTAACAGTGCTTGACAGCATGAAGAAATGTAATATCCATAGTGAAAATAAATTTGTTTTGGCCAAGCAAAATAAAGTCACAAAAAAATTCAAGTGCGTGTTGGCTGTCCTTACTGTAAGATGGTATAGTTTTGACGATAGGTGTCATAATTTTGTCTAAATAGCTGGAAATTGGTTCGGTGGAACAACTGCAGACAGAAACGATGGGTCGCCCTGGGTTGGATTTTATGTAAAAAGTACGTACACGGAGTGGTGATGGGGAGATTTTTTTACAGTGGCCGGCAATTCTTGTTTAGCTTTAAGATCGAGAAACGTATTTTTAACAATGTTTTGGTTGATGAAAGTGAGATCTTTGTCAACTTTTTTTTTCAACGTCGGTTTTTTCGGAAATTAGAACAAAATTTAAGCCCTTGCTAAGAACTGATTTTTCTGAATCTGAAAGTGAAAAATTTCCTGGGATGGTAACTAAAGTTTTGAGGATTTCAGGCGATTAGTCCGCGCTAGTAATTTGAGGACCAATAAGTTGGTCGAGTTTTTCGGCCTTTATTTGGTGCAAATGGTTAAAAAGTTTAAAATTGGCATCCTGAACTTTGGTGGGAATAGATTGTACTAAAACAGTTGGGCAGGTTTTAGAAAGTTCAGAGCGGCAATGAAGAATTCGTTCGTTGAGTTCGTTACGCTTTTTTGGTTACGGCCAACAGTTCCGTTGAGATTAAAAGAAAAAAATTGTACGGTTAACTTTTTCAGGACTATCGGCAAAATGTTTTGGCCGTTTAAAAGGAACCAGTGAAAACTATTGAGGCACCCTTTTACATTGCCGGCAATAAAAGGCATAATACCACAAACCAGATGATATTTTTTGCCGTGAAATGCTCATTTTTTTGCTTTCAAACTCAGAATACGGTGAATCCTAAGAGTGTTTATTTACTTAGCAGGAAGAAAAAACAAAAACAGACAGAAAAAAAAACGGCCGAGTTTTAGATAACTAAAACCATAGACACCAACAATAAGCAGTTTTTGGTTATGAGTTTTGCTCGCATGCAATAAACTGCATTGTCATAATTGATGTTTAAGGTTTTTTTTTTTATTAATGGCCTGGTCTTGAGTACGCTATGCGACTCACCAGACCAGATTACACACAGATCAGTCCTCTCTCATTTTTACTAAAATATTTGTTTGAAATGATGACTTTCAGGGAAGCGCTGTGAGTAGGAAAGAGTTCAAAGGCTCTCACCCGCTTCACTAGCTCCCTTGCACTATCTTTCTCATTTAAATCTAAGTAATTTTTGTTACACTTTACAGTTTTTCCCGCGAACTGATCCGCCCTCTTATTGTTCCCCGTTTCCTATGTCAGTCTTAAATACCAGGCTGTTTCACAAATAAGCTGATTCCCTCGCCACAAAAACGTAATCTAGGCATTTACTCAAAGTTACTAAAGTTATCTTTAATGATTATTTTTAGAATTTAAAATCTTGTTTTACAGTATCATTGGTTGCAAGACGACTCTTTGCATGTCTTCCCATGCCTAATTTTTTTCCTGATGCTTTTCTTGAGTCTTGACTCCTGTTTGTCCTGTTCGTCTATCACCATACCTTGACCACGAGCTCACCACAGAGAAACATGATATTATCTTCATTGAAAAATTGAACTTTCGCGTTATAGGTTCGATTCTAATTGATTGAAGAATAAAATGAAAGTAGAATGAGCACATGCATTGACTTAAGGCCCTCCCTTGTTTCTAGGAAAGAACAGACCAAACTATGCCCAGCTTGATAAAAATCGTCAAAATGATAGTGATAATGATCAACACCATCATCTGTCATGATTGCTTTTGAAAAAGCGCGCAGTCAATGTAATGGTAAAGAAGATAACGAATAAAGGCTGCTGACGCTTAAAGCTCGCAACACTATATTGAAATAAACGCACAAAGATGACAAAATGCTCGACTGCAACTCTTTTTAATAATTTGAGCGGCTAAGTTTCTGAAGAAACTGTGATGCTGCGTCCTAGCTAATTTGGTACTAACAACCGAATTGAAAACGTAAATTGGCAGTAAAGAGTTAAAAAAGGAGGCGTCTCGAGCGTTAGCCCTTTGTCGGAGCCATTGGAGGAATGGTGGGTTTATATGCAGAAAAAGGAGCTACGCTATCGGTGGGAATATGGTGACGAGAAAGTAAGAATAAATTGGTTAAATGAAAAACACTCGTTAATACCATCGCTCTTACGAAGGGCTAACGCTCTAAAGGTCAGCCTTTTAACTCTTTACGGTGGCCAATTTACGTTTTCAACTCAGTCGTTAACACTAGATCACCTGCTATACTCTCCCACCGACGCAGCACCACAGTTTCTTTAGAAACTTACCCCCTTTATTTATCTGCGATGCTGCCTCGATGCATAGCCATGTTGGGCTAATAGGAAAATTATCAACTGAAATGATAATGCAAACTGGCAACCTTAAAGGGTTTTCAAAGCTGACGTCTCAATCGTTAGCCCTGGGTCAGAATGAAGGGCTAACTCTTTAGAAACTTTTTTGGATGGTGGCTACGAATTTTATATCCTTGAAAAAGCTGAGTTTGAGCCAATAGGACGAGTGCTTACAGGTGAGTTCGGCTTCAGTTTCGCTGAAAAATGTAGGTACATGCTCCTGTGAGAAAGATGTAAAAAATCATATAGGAAAGGACGAAAACTACACTGTTATGATTGATAAGCAAGAACAAATCTAGGGAGAGAGGACAGACTGAAATGCAGCCGAGGCTATCAGATAGGAATCACTAGCCCTGAAACCGATGAGCTGACAGGGCTGCGCTAGTTGATCAATTACCTTTAAAACTGGAGGAATGGGCGGCAGTTTTCCAGATAAAGCCCACACTTTGGTTTCTGCAAGACAAAATTAAAACAAAACAAAAAAACAAAACAAGAAACGAGGAGATTCGCAACTATTATTTAAAATATGAAACGCCATGCACCAAGAGCAATAAATAGGATTGATAATTAATCAATAGGGATGGATTAACTAATTTTTCATTGCTATTTTTTGTCTGTTTTGTTTTTCATTCCAGGCTTCCTGTTAGAGATAGTCATGAAAGCAATTTGGAAAGATCATCGTTCTGAATTCTTAAATACGTCTCTATGTTTTTCATACCGTCGGTTAAAAAAACTATTTGGAAAAAGAAACTGGTTGAATTTTCACCAAAATCGGGAGATATGTATGACAATATGTAATCACACGGATAAATATAAGAAAAATAGGAACCAGTTGTAAACAACTATTAAAGGGAAAATATGAGGTTGACACTCGCTGAATTTTTATTCAGAAGTATACTGGGCTTTTTTGAGTTGATATGATTAGCTTTCTTGAGTTTAAGCTAGAATTTTATGGAGCAGAACGCATAATTTTGATATAATCTGCAAAGCAGGATATTTGATCAGCTTTAATTGTAAATGTTTGAAATTTTTTTTTCATTTTTTCTTGCTTCCTTTATTTCCTTCATTGCTTTCACTCTCTCTTTCTTTCTTCCTTTTTTATTTCCCTTCTATTTTGGAGAGAACTTACCACCAGCAGGTAAGCTGCACAAGTATGGGTGCCTATCGCATATATTGTCGTACCAGCCCTTAATTACAACCTTGCCATCTGAGACCGCTTCGTATTGTACGGATGCTTCAAGAACATCTACCGCTATTAGAAGCAAGCACTAGTTAGAACGCGGCACAGATCCTAGTGTAATGAAAGAGTAATATCTGCGGTGCATCAAGGGGAGTTGGAAAGGGAAGATTTCAGTGGAAATCGGCAAGTTGACACAGCAATCGTTAAAAAGTTTGATAAAAACGGAAAATAGAAAATTATTTGCGATTAGGGTTAACAACTTTACGCATTGCAGGATACATAATTGACAATCATTTTAGTATACCTCGGTGTTATACACTGACTTGAAATCTCATTTCCCGAGGCCTTTAGTTTCGAAGATTTGGAGAACCTCTTACTTGCAATCGCACTCAGCGTTCTCTCGTAACCTCGATTCTCAAATCCTGGATATTTTATAACACACACCCTCGGTCAAATTGATAAGAAAGGGGTTAAATGTTTGGCTTGGTCCTTAAGCAAAGCAGGATGTATATTATTTTGATCTCGATTGTGGAAAGTCTGATTTCCCAAATGGAATAAAACCTTGGACCGTTGGATTCCGTCGTCCAGTGCTCTACGAAAAAAACTCCGTGGTGGATTATACCCCACACTAGGTTCAAACAAGACATTGATATACGTTTTGCAATTTGTCTTGCATGCTACAAGGATTTGCAATTTCGGAAGCCTCGCGTATGTATTCATATCGCCTAATCAAGGAGTTCTTAATCCGTCCTGTGTTCTTTTATAATTCATTCACCTGTCAGTCAAAAAAATTGTAATTATGCCAAATGGATTTTCTGCAAGCCGTGGAATTTCATAACCCTTCCTCCTGGTTTTGCAACGATATTACTTCTAAAAGAAAGTTAACAAAAATATTAACACCTCCACGTCAACTTCGACTTACCAGGTGTAAATGTTATATTACCATCAACATAAATCCCAGCAGGAATGAAAGGCCATGGAGAAACTTTAAACAATGGAGTCTTATCGTACTTTCCTGAAAAGAATGCAACAATGGAGCATCACCTTGGTTTACAAAAAATAATTTTTTTTCCAATTGAGTCTTTCACTAGTATTCGGTTGAATTCGGATTAGGATCCGCGGTCCAAATTCGTGAGCGGATATGAACCCCTCTACGCAGATTTGGACCCCTCTTTCATACTTTCCTTTTAGCATCGTTTGTATCATATTTGGTAACTAATTCAATTTGTAAACTTTTTGTCGATGTTCTTTTCAATCACAACATAACATTCCTCAGTAACGATAAAAATAAACAGCCATTTTGCTCTAGTTCTGCAGCATTTATTATAGCAAGTCGTACAGTATACTCAAGAATTAAATGCGAAACTACTGCATTTGAACCATTGAAATTGTTGCAATATATTCTTGCTTCTTCTGATGCGAATCAACATTGATACGAAACGTCATAACAGTTGTAGGGACTATTGCGTCTAGTCTAAGAAAAAAACCCTGATTTTGACTCTTATCTCTGATAAGTCTGATTTTTTAATTAAATAACATTAAACAGTTTCTGAACAAGAATGAAGTAACTACTATTACTAAAAGTCGTTCGTAAAGCCTGTTTCACATGATCAGTAGCACATGTTCTAGTGCGAGAGTAATTTCGTTGACCTTGGGTGCTGTGTTCATTTTGATTGTTGAAGTTTTGTGCTTTTCCTACCCGTTTATCGCATAGAAATATGTAAGTACATGTGCCTCGTTTTGCAGTTTCGCTTTCGCCCAGTGAGTTGTAATTTAGGTTCTCGTTTTCAGTTTTCACCGTAGGTGTACGAAGATCAAGTCAAAACAACACGCAATGTCAAATGGTGAAAATGTTTAAATTTAAAAGAAGGTTTACTCCATCATGGAATGACTTGTATTGGTGCGGCTACGCGTAAAAGAGTTCTCTGCATATCGTCCCCAACAAAGCCTGTTTTAAGTTATTGTAAATCGACTCGACCGAACACTTACTAGACTAAAAAAATCTAAAAGGACTGTTATTTTAACTTATTTTTAATCATTAGGAATACAACAAGCGACACAAACACAACTGGATGCTAATTTTAGCGTGTGTTCTCGGCCTACGAACAATAAAAAAAATTTAATGTATCAGTAATTGATGGAGCAACAGAATTTCAATGTGGAACACTAACAATGGATTCCCGATTTTTCGAGTCTCCATGTGAAATGAAAATCAGTTGGATCCGTTAGCCGATTTGGACCATGGGTCCGAATCTAGAGGGGTCTAAATCCGCTAGGACTCTGGAACATTCCTGCTACATTCTTCACATCTACTCTATCGGTAGCAAAATATCAACTCGCTTGATAAATAACCAAGCATATAATACAAGAAAGATGTCAATTTTGAGCATAGAAACGCTTCATGACAGTGGAAATTACGAACAACAAAATGCCGAAGGCGAAGAATCGCACACGGGTAGTGGGTGGTTGACTCAATGTTCGAACTTTCGGACATTGAGAAAGTAGTAAGTCAGTTGTTAAAAAGAAATTCGACAATTCCTTTTTTCTAAGAGGGATTCCCAATTTTCATTTTCCGTGCCATTTCTGGTAACATTCTGTAATTTTTCCTAAAGAGTTTTTTAAGGTCAAATTTGAAAAGAGTAACTTACCGCAGGATGTCGCATTAATGATTTCAAGTCCCAAGCGATATCCCCGTGTTCCACTGATGACAAAAACTAACATGATCAGGGTGACAGTTTGTGTCGGTTGTCGGGTCAAAATCATCATTGTCTTCCAAAGCGACAGCTGGGGAGAAAAACACTGTAAATTAAAGGAATTTATTGTGAATTTAACGCGGCCTTTTAGAATGAGGGTTTGATAGCCTCTTCGTGATACTGTTCCAGAAAGTCTATCTAACCAACGCGGAATGTTGGGAGAATACTCGAGATCCCGTTTTGATTTTCTTATTTTACATCTCTTGAGGGTTATCATGCCGGTGCGCGAAAAGAAAGCGTGGTCTGTTGTCTTAATGAGAGAGAGCGTAATATATCCATCGAGAAAAATGCAAAATTTGAGCTAATTAATTATTGCTAAAAATATTTATGCCATCTTTACGATTCAGTGGATTCTTTTTTTTAATCCCAAGATTCTAGAAGGTGCCAGTTACGCCAGTTAGCACTTGTACGAAAGCCGTTGAGCAGAGTTCCCAGAGAGTGAAGTTTCCTATTTCCCAGAATCAACAGTTTCAGCTAGTGCAGAGTATTGCGATTGTTTTGATCTATCACTTTCTGGTCCCCTTTCAGTCGAGAGGCAAATTTGCATTTCGTCTCGCCAGTGTATTTGTAGCTCTTGTCACAATTTTGGAAGGGAACTTATAATAAATATAAGGCAACGAGTCTTTTCTCTGCGACTTTATCCATTGGATTTTGAAGCTACAGTTACCCAAGGTAGCAAGTAAGGGATGGATGAAATGAGCTTTCTGTTCAAACGAATATTTTTTCCATTCGTGATTTATCAGGTTTTTTGGAGAGTGCTTTACGATCTTCGTCTGAGCTGTTGAAATATGTACCTTCTCATTGATTGTAAATTTTAAGAACGCAAAAATTCGACCACATTACGAAGTTTAAGTGGTGGGAGGTGAGCAAGAAATGCCTTGTAGACTATCTTTTTATAAAGGAACGTCATATTTCAAGGCTGAGGCTATCCATTATATACATATATATATATATATATATATATATATATATAAATCTTGATTATAGTCTATCCTTGCGGTATAGTTCTTGATGCGTTCGCAGAGCGTGGCATATCTGAAAGTTGGACAAATCAATGAGACATAACTTTTCCTGTTCTCAAAATGCGTTTTTTCTTTATCACTTAGTGGTGCGGCTTGCTTTGATATCGTTAACAAAGATGTTTCACCAACCAACTATTCGGAATTTTTGCTAGATTTGGCTTTACAAAAAGCAAAATGAGCAAATAAAAGAGGTTCTTTAATGACTCTCGGCCTAGGTATGTTCTAAGCATGTTCTTTAATTTTTGGCTCATCTTGGCCCGATCATGTGTACGTACGTATTACCAAAACTTCGCAAATATCGTTACCATTACATTATCATGACAAGATTCGTAACTTACCGAGAGAGACGGACCTTCAAATCTGCGCGCAAATAGTCCCAAATGTTTTTGGAACGTAATACTCCTCTGGAGGTTGAAATTTTTCGTCAAAACTTTCGCTTTCGAGATGTGTCGCCGGTTTAAGTACCAATTGCCAAGGGCTCGATACCAAACATTTTTGAAATATTTTGATAAAAACCTGACCGAAGCAAAAGCAATGACCAGTGACGAAGTCATAAACAGGAAGTAATCTATCTCCAAGCAGTGCTGCTAGCAGTGCTAAAGTAGTGTAAAAGAAATGGAGCTTATATTTCTAATCTTTATAAACTATTTTTGTTAGTCTTTAATCAAGACAACTCGTCTATCTTCCATAATATGTGCGGTGTTAAGAAAAATCGAATTTCAGAGTAGTTGATACTGTTCTCAAACATTGATGAATGAAAATGCTATGACCTTAGAATTTTCTAGATGCGGATGTGATTTAGAGGAAAAGACAGGATTTTCACAACTTAGTGGTCTTCCGTTTCGTAATCTGTTCCTGCGCAAGAAATCAATTAAATGATTACTCTAAAGGCAGAGGGTATGACCAGTTTAATATGGCCATATCTGTTTTGTCTTCTTATTTCTTTATCTCATTTTTACGATTATTTGGCTTAAAAGTCCTTTAAGTAAGACTGTTAATCGCAAATGGCATTTCTTGCGATTAATAGTCTGAAAGCGTCTTCTACCACGATTAATAATCGTGGTAAGTACGAATATTAATCGCGTACAAACTCATTAATAGTCGTGTTTGACTGCCTTTTAAACTTAATAGTCGTACATCGCACGGTTAATAATCGCATCTGACAGCAAATGTCCTTATTTATCGCGAAGAAACGTACTCTTCTCCAAAGAAAGTTCAAGCACAACTTTTTTCTGAACGGCCGCCATTACGACCAAAAATTCAGAATTCAGTATTTCTTCGCACATGGCATTTTAGGCAATATGTGTCACATATTTGAAGTTTCTCGGGTTCAAGTTCTCAGTGAACTTCATTTCTGTTCAAAAAGTGTGTTTACCAACTACGTTTTCTTTGTTTTTCACTCTTCCACGAAGTACAGCGCGGGCTGACTGTGTTGTAAGAAACGCAATTAGCATTTCTTCTCAATGATAATGTACACAAATACGTTAATTTTCGACAGGTTCGATTAAATTGAAGTTTAACCGAGAAAAAAATACAAACAAACAGCCAAGTAAGTCAAAGTACGTCAAATTCTTCCCAATAACAGCTTCTTGTGAAGCTGGACGTAAGTTCACGAGCAAGCGACAGATGAAAACGGCGGCGGTGAAGGGTGCCAAAGGTGGAATATGATAAAATTCTTTCATGGTTGGATAACTTGCATCCCCTTGCACTAGTAGTCTTGGATATGCAGAATTGGAAATTGTCAGGCTTAACCCTTTTAAAGAAAAAAAGATGCAATGTGTCACAGATATCCTTTCCCCGTTTTGCTTTGGAGATACGTAATCCAAACAAAAAAACGCGTTGCAGTTAGTTGAGCGAAACAGACAGAGAAATATTTGAGTCGCGGCTAAATTTTTCCACGCTGCCGGACTCTTTCCAAAACTAGTGTGTTTCCGAAGTGGGTTTTTTTTCGAGGGCAATAGGAGTGCAAAAACCTTTTTCGATTTTTTTTGTGAAAACGTATTTTAGAGTTTGCAATGTCACGCCGACTCGGTAAGATGTTTATTTGGTGATGGCGTTATTTATTTAATAGCAAAATGTAATCGTTTTTACCCGAAACCGATAGCAGGCAACAACAAAAACGGCTTCTCTTCATTTCTTTCAAAAAATAGCTGCTACACTCTTTCATTCAAAAAATTTCAAACCTGATAAAAACATCTGACGACAGTGCGTGACTGTCGACTCATTTCATCGATGCTTTGTTTTGATACGAATTATTTAGATCTAAGCACATAATGGGTTTTCATGATTTCCGAAACTTCTTTCGTTCGATTAGTATATTCCTGAGAGGTAAACTAAAGAAATGTACAAGAACAAATATGGGTTCTCATTGAAAGTGTTTCTGATCAGCGGTCAAAATTCAATATGCAGGAATTCGAAGCCTACGTCACGCACCACTCCGATAAAAAAAAATCTGTTGGGAATATAAATAAGAAGTTTTCTCTCTCTTTCAGCCTTAACATTTTTCACAGAGATTTTGAGAGTATTCTTTTATTTATTTGCCATGGCCTAAAAAAGAAAACTCTTCGACTTCCTCTTTCCTACCGCGAAAATCCGATTTTCGCGGGAAAAAAGCTTTTCAGCTGGCAATTGTTTGCGAAGACAAGCTTTATTTTTATGGTCGATTTCTTATTATCATCTGTAACTTTGCACACCGCTTGAAGTGATGTGATTATTATTCTACAGTGCATTTTAGAAACCATCATCCATCGTGGCTCTTTCATTTAATAATTTTTTGTAGCTCTCTCAGTTTCAGAGGAGTTTGAGTCTGGCTGCAATTACTGGAAAACAGACTAAGTGGAATTATCCCTACTAGTTATATCATATAGTTTCGTACCTTTGTTTTACGGTGGTCTCTCATGGAGTGGTTATGAGCACTACAGGTAGATTTCACCAGCAATCTCGCGCAACGCTTCTTCTTCCGATTTTTGTCAAACAAACCCACTTTCAGTTAATAGCCTCAGTAATAACCAGTAATCTGCCAACTGATTAATCGCCAATATCCTATTTCTATGTTTAAATTGTCCTTCGTGCACACTTTTACGTCCCTACAATCCTACGTCCTCTGCAATCGTTTGTGTGGATGGGAGACCTTGCAGATCGAACACATCGCCAGAACAGAGAGCGTCCATGGTGACCAATAGCAATGCTTGCTGTCAAAGCTTGACCAATCACAGAAAAGTAAGCAAAACTTTTCAAAGACCAACAAAAATAGTTCTAAAGACATGTAGGGGAAAGTTGTAATTGAATTGTTTAACAGTTCAACCCTTTAAAGACAAAGCTGATTATATTACAGTAACCCAATTAAAATATTCGGCATCGTCTATGGTCAGAATACTGATCGACACTTACTTCCATACACCAATCCACTACATGTCACGTGGAGTAACTTACGGGTAATAAGCGTGAACGAAGAGTATCGTCCATCGCCCCTCATACTTTAGACACGATTAAGGTAGGAAGCAAAATGCACTCTGTGATTGGTCAAGGTTTGACAGCAAGTTTTTCAATTGATCACCATAGAAGCTCTTTCTTTTGGCAATGTGTTCGATCTCTAAGGTGTCTTTACCACATTCATGATTATGGAGACAGTAGGGACGTAAAATTGTGGTCGAAGATAATTGAAATGGTGATGGGGATACATGAGTTGACGGATTGCTGATTTTTATCAAGGCGATCGACGGAAAACGGAAGGGGCGTTGCAGATTTAATACGCGAGATAGCTGGTGAAATCTACACGTGGTTGTTCATAAGTACTGCTCCAGAGACTAGTGAAAAACAAAGGTACGAAGTTATACAATAATATTAAAGATAAATCTGACCCTTACAGACAATTGTCAGCTGAAAAGCCTTTTAACTTTTTCCCGCGAAAACATGATTTTCGCGCGGTTAGGAAAGAGCCAACTTGAAGAGTCAATTTGGTTATTGCGATGAACTGAAAGAATACTCTCAAAATCTCTGTGACTGTTTCTAGTATGTGTAGTCTCAAACTCATCAATTAAAGAAGTTTCGAAAACATGATAACCCATGCGACATTATGTGCTCTGATCTAAATAATTCGTATCTAAACAATCGTAGCGATGAATTGAGTCGACGGTCACGCACTATTGTCAGATATTTTTATTAATTTTTAACTTTATTGAATGAAAGAGTATAGCTATTTTTTTAAAGAAATGAAGGAAAGCCGTTCTTGTTGTTGCCTGCAATCAGTTGCGGGTAAAAAACGACTATATTTTGCCGTTAAATAAATATCGCCATCACAAAACAAACATCTCACCGAATCGGCGTGACAAACTCTAAAATACGTTTTCACAAAAAAAATCGCGAATGGTTTTTCCATTCCGTTAGATTATTCTCCCTATTGCCCTTGAAGAATCCATTTCGGAAACGCACTAGTTTTGGAAAGAGTCTGGCAGCGTGGAGAAATTTGGCCGCAACTCAAATATTTCTCTCTCCTTCGCCAACATAAATGCAATGCATTTTTTTCTAGGATTACGTATCTTCAAAACAAAACGGGGAAAGGATATCAATTAAACATTGCCTTTTTCTTCCCTTCAAAGGATTAAGCCTGGCAATTTCCAATTCTGTATTTCCAAGACTACTAGTGCAAGGGAATGCAAGTTATCCAAGCATGAAAAAATTTTACTATATTCCATCTTTGGCACCCTTCACCGCTGCCGTTTTCATCTGTCGCTTGCTCGTAAACTTACGTCCAGCTTCACAAGAAGCTGTAATTGGGAAGAATTTGACGTACTTCGACTTACTTGGCTGTTTGTTTGTATTTTTTCTCGGTTAAACTTCAATTTAATCGAACCTGTCGAAAATTAACGTATTTGTGTACATTATCATCGAGAAGAAATGCTAATTACGTCTCTCACAACACCGTAAGCCCGCGCTGTACTTCGTGGAAGAGTGAAAAACAAAGAAAACTTTGTTGGTAAACGCATTTTTTGAACAGAAATGAAGTTCACTGAGAACTTGAACCCGAGAAAACTTCAAATATGTGACATTTATTGCCTAAAAAGCCATGTGCGAAGAAATACTGAATTCTGAATTTTTGGTCGTAATGGCGGCCGTTCAAAAAAAGGTTGAGCTTGAACTTTCTTTGGAGAAGAGTACGTTTCCTCGCGATAAATAAGGACATTTGCTGTCAGATGCGATTATCTGAAAACAGTGATTACATATGCGAATGTTAATTTATCTACCGGAGAAACATGCCTCGCAACGTAAGCCATGTTGCTTTTGAACGACGGATAAAGGTTTTGAATAAGTCTTTATTTATTAGGTATTTGTGTTTCCAGCAAACCGCTCTGGCCAGGGTAACGATGCTCACTGGTGTGATACAGGTCATCTTGGTCTTGTGGTTTGTAACACCATGTAAGAGTGACGTTTGCAGCCAAAAAATCTGTCAATGTACCAAGTTCGGTGGGACTCGGCTAAGAGTAATATGTCGAGTTCATGGATACATACCGGCCGGAATCCCAAACAATACAGTAGAACTGTAAGTGATAGAGACACTTCGTCATCCTTTGTCCTGCAGGGTCTGTTATCGTCTCCTTTGTGTTCATATTTGTTACTATGCTAATAGTTTGTAGACACATCCTAGAGGAAGGTAGTTTTAATTTTGCAGACTTGCTAAGGAGTCTTGGTCAGAGCTATAGGAAAAAAAAACCAAAAGCAAAGATGATTTTCGAACAAACAAGGAAAAAGGAAAAAGGAAAAACAAACACACGATTTAAAATTAATCATAAGAAAAGTCATAAGACTGTGAAAACTCAATAATTGGACGCTATGTGTCAATTTAAACTAAAATACTTTTAATTCAGATAGTCGCTTATTGATTCCTTTCGGACCTTACCTCCTCTAGAATTCAAATTTATGATCATTACTATTTCTACTTACAGTTTAATTTTTACTCAGGGATCTTTCAAGTTGTTCGTTGAGCTCAATTACAGAAGAAATCTTTAGGAACCTGACTGTTTTAAAGAAATTGTAAGTTGTAAATGAAAGTGAATTTAAAAAAAAAAACTGTGAGTTCTTAAGAAATGTAAAAGGATATGGTTTCCGTTAATGAGAAATTGGTATTGGATCGACAAGATTTTCTCTTACAGCGAAGCACTTTTTCGTTTTAATAGTTAATAGACAAAAAAATTTAAAAACAAGTCCATTTGACGGAAGTAAGTTTGAAGATTAGTTAGCCAAGCTTATTGTGTCTGTATGTGAGGAAAGTTTGATAGCTGATCAGACAATTCGCACAGTCCAGCCAAACCTCATTAAACTAAAGGAAACAGCGGTCAAGGTAATGCATATATCTGGCACATTCAGAAGAAAAATTTGTCACGGTTGCGAAAAAGTTTGAAAGATCTCCCGAGCCACCTTAAAAACGCGAATAAATCAAAGAGTTAACCATCTGATAACAAGTTATATCTGAGTACTCATTGTTGGTTCAATAGTTAAACTATTATCTGTGTGCTGTTTAATTTCGACCGTATTAGCTGATCATTAGGATACTAGCATCCTCCCTCTAATTATAAGTAAAACAGGAAAGGACAAATAATCCTCTGTAAGGGGAACGTTTGGCTTATGGAAAATTTTATGCTTAATCTTCCGAGAATCAAACAATTTTTTTTTTCATGAACTCTCTCTCTCTCTCTTCTAGGGACTTATCAAATAATTTACTGCGACACATTCCTCAAAACACTTTCCGGAATATGGAGGAACTTAAAGTAATGTAAGGAAATTCCCAATGATTTAATTTAAACAGTTTGCAAAATGTGGTTGGAAAAAAACGAGTGGAAAAGTATTTCCCATTATTTTTTTCCATTGTCATCTTGTTAGGCTGATGAAAATCACTATCCTTGTAGAGTTTACAACTATTTTTATTTATTTCGATTTTCGTTAGCTTTATTTTGATAAACAATTTTTCACCTTGGTGGATAAGAGGCACGGTAAATATCCGTCGCTAGCCACCAACGCAGAGGCGAATAGTTGTTTTAGCTATTTTTATGGTAAAACAGCGAGATAGCGTAGCGCATTATTTTTTTCTCGATGCGTGAGTGGGTGGTATTCTACAAATCCTGCAATCTGATTGGTTTCGAGGACGGGCAGTATTCTCCCGTTCGGCCCGCTCATAGTGGGCGGTATCCTAACTGTTGTGTGTTTAGTCGCCTGGTACATCCCTAGCTTCGTTGCAAACTTCAAAAAATATAACTTTTTTGCCAGGTGGGAAGCATTTTTAAGACTCCGATCTCGTGCGACCTTAAGTCGATCGATAGTTTAATAGCTTAATAGTTCTTTCTCTCCCTCCCTCTCACCCCTTATCTCTATCTCTCTCTCTCTCTCTTTGGTTTTTCCTGCCTTCATTTCATGACATCTGTTATCATTTCTTCCCAGATACCTTTCCAAGAACTCAATTTCAGGGAGTTTTTACCTTCCAGAAAACGTTCATCATCTGTGAGTTATATTTGATGAAGTGCTTCTCAAATCTGTTTGCCACAGAATCAAAGTACTTCCAGGTTTACTATTAAAATATTGCTTTGAGCTCGTATTCTCCACACATTGTGAATCAAATGATGGTGAGCTGTTTACATGAGATAGATATATGGATGTATTAAACATCGTAGTATAAATGAAGCTGCGTGAATTATTCTAACCCACTGTCCAATACTTACGAGTTGATTTTAGATATCGTATTTGTTTAGGAAAATCAGTGACAACTTACTATCAGTTGCTGATGTGAAGGTCATTCTCAAAGGATTAACACGGCTTCACAAACTGTAAGTGTCACCTTTTTAGATGATTTAAAAATCACAAAAAACTATTTTCGGATGCTTTAAGCAGATGATCGTTGGAGATATTCGCTAAATACTCGTTCATCACAGTTCACATCAATAGTTCATCACAGTTTATATGAATTAAAATTTCGCACCTAATATCGGCCTATATGGAATCAAAGATAGTTAAAACTTGTTTAAAACGATTTTCTTTTACAGATACCTTGATGGAAATCCGCTTGGACCTTCTCTGCCAGCAGACATCTTCGCTGGGTTTGAAAATTTGACACATCTGTAAGTCCAGTGGCTCCTCAAATCACCGACTAGTAAAAATTATCATGATGAACGTTTGTCTCACGATTTAGTGACATTCGAAGTAAATCCTGGTTCATCTGTGCATAGTTAGTTTAATTCAGACGCCGAAGTCGATTGTTACCTCCTAAAGCATTCTACTCTGCTATAATTCGCTGTGGTACACTGTGATGTGGCAATTCTGCTGTTTTGTTTCTTGATCGTTGCCTACTTTTCTTCTGGAATTTCTGCTGAGTGCAGTCTTATCTGAATCGCCCCTTATACTGTGTGTTTTTAAAATCGGACTCTCAGTTAAGGACTTTTTTTCCTTATCAAATGAATGGTTTTTGCTGACGAGCAGGTGCTCCGTGGGACGTTGAAAGTTTGTGCGAGTTGAGTGTCGGCGTCAATAACAGCTGTCGAAAAGGAGTATTCGTAGAAACGTTGCATCCACATCCAAAATTACCATACCGTTAAATTTCTGTATTTATAAACACAATTAATCACTACATAACCACCCCTCTTTGCCATATAAGTTCTGAATAAGAATAATCGTTTTCACTGAAAACTCTGTGCATTTGTTAGGTATTACCTGCATTCATCTCTGAGAAACAAGCTTGATTTTAAGTTTAACAGGTTAGGAACAGATAGTTTTGGCCCGACAGAGAAGCATATTGAAAATTGTAAAGGAATGTTCCGCTCTGTCCAATTATGGTTATTCCCATATTTTTTAGAGTGCATTCTTCAATTAGCCAATACCACCCTTTAAGTATTTGAATAACAGTCTTTATTAAACTTCTCTGCCACACTGACTTTTTCATATTACTTTTGTAGTTCCATGACTGCTTGCAACTTGGAAAATATCGTCAATGGAACTTTTCGAGCAATGTCACACCTACACGAACTGTAAGTAGTGTTTATCAATTAGTTATTTTTTTAAGAAATGACTACAAAGCTTTACCAACTGCCATGTTTTTAGATTTTAAAAAGTGCACCGACAGTTCATTTACATTACCTATAAATACGCTAGGAATTCACAATCGCATATGAGCTGGCTTTTTAAAGGTTGAAATCCTTATTGATCTTAAGGATATTTCATTTATTTGGGAGTAACTTCAAATTGTTTACACAGATCACTAAAAGATGGAAATGAAAATGAGGAGGAAAGTAAACGATATTCACATGGAGGAGTTTTAGCGAACCTGTTCAGAATTAGTAATGTTATTCTTTGTTATTCAATTTGCAAAGTCTGAGCTCAACAAAGGGGAAATATCTGATAATAGGTTTTGTAGTGCGTACACCTAACTCGTCTCATCCTTGACCTCGGACCATTACAGACAGGTTTATCTTCGTTGAGATCAACCTGGAATAAGCAGCGTCACATTATTGTTTGAAATTTGTCCGTTTTCAGTGATCTGTCTTCCAATAAGCTGACTCATATACACCAGGGTACAATGCACGGACTAACGGATCAGCTCAGATATTTGTAAGTACGTTGGCTGTGCACTGCTGTTCTTTCCCTGGTACTGGGAAGTGCGAGTTTTAAAGGAATAATATACGTCATTTACTATGTGGACAATGGAAATCTTTAGTATACCTAGGGTCAAAACCAGGGGCAACACCTCTTATAGTTCGCATACTTAATTTTCCTTTTTAATTGAAATGTTGGACCCACCATGACTGGGAGTTTTATCGACTTTCATTTTACGTAAATATATAAAACAACATAAATACCACCCCCCTCCCCTCTCCCACCCTTCTATGCCTCCCAGAAGATATCTCAATTCTCTTTACATTTGCTTATAGGTACCTTAGAGGAAACGAGCTGGAGACGATAGGTGATGGCATTTTCAAACAATTTAAAAGTCTCGAAAGATGGTAAGTGATTTAAAAATGCTTCCATAAAACACAGGTAAAATGGAAAAGATGTCGGTGATTGGCGCAAATAAAGAAATATTTTGTAGTATATCATAAAAAAACGGTCACTCGTTGCAACATGCCAATTATATTTCAGATAACACATATGCGATTGTGACTGCTACTACCCTTGATTAATTACGAGTTATGATGGAAAAGAAATTGAAAACGACTGTGGAAGTAAAAATTAAAAGGCAAAGAAAAAGAAGGAACGTTTGTGAATTGATCAGAGCTCATTACAACTCCTTTACATTCTTTTTTTTTTGGCTTCATCGTATAGCTATATGGAGAACAACAAGCTGACATCTGTACCAGATTTGGAAGGTCCTAAGTCAATTAATTTATTGTAAGTAGCTATTGTACCATCTTCATTTTGTCACGCGTCGAAAGAAATCTTATCTTATGTATTGGGCAAGGTGAACGTGTTAGCGATACTATTAACTCGAGATGAACTCGTCTCCACGAGCAAACATGTAACGTTAAAAAGACAGACAGCTTCAAAACACATTTAAGAGCACCGAATGTAGAGATCTTCTCTACATAACTGCAACTTGTTATTTCAACTCCGACAAAAAAGGCAAAAAATCTCACTCCTAAAAAGAGCGTTCCTCCCAAAAAAACTCAATATTTAACCTTAATCCAAGTGTTACGAGTGATTGTTAAGTGATTGTCTGTAGCTAAACAGAACGCAGTGGTGTCGGAATAGCAACAAAGATGACTTATTCCTGAAGAACGCAGTCTTCACAGCTGCAAAACTCTGAAACAACTCGTCACAGTAAACGCCCATGATACACGGCCTCTGCCAAACTTCAAATAATCACAACCGCAGTTAAACTCGACCTCAACCACAGTTGAGTAAACTTGACCTCCGTCGCACTACTCGGCTTGTGAAAAACCAGTCATGTCATCTGGTTACACAAGTTGGCCTATATACTTAAAAGCATAAGATTCAAGAACTTTCCGGCTAACCCAATTACAGTAGCATTTCAAAGTTTAACTATTTACAGCATCTTGCACGGACTTGACGATCAAATATTCAAGAAACGTCTTGGCAAAATTAGCATACTCACGAAACTCCTAGACAGTCACGCAAGTTAAACAACAATTTTCGTAACACCATGTTCACAAACTTAAAAAAAGAAACCTTCGTGAGAAGTAAAACCGCAATCTCGTTGAATCCGGTAACCACGACGTCATTTTTAATATGAGTAGATGATTCCTTCAATAAAAACGGCGAAGATACGTGTTTTCGAAACAGGAGAAACTCTGGCATTTATTAAATATCTATATAACAACACCGGACACTTGACTGTTCAATATTTTGAGGTCGAATAACCTATCAAGTTAGCCAAGAAATATGGTTCATACATTTAACCACTCAGTTTAGAGCCGGTTGAAATCGTAAGGGCTTCTCTTATATCTTCTCTTGAAGATAGCTGCCAGGTATGACTGATTGCCCTATCGTTTTTCTTTAACGTTTCAACCTCCTCTGTTTATCGTGGAAAATTAAAAAAAAAAAAGTAATATTAAACTTGTGTTTGAACCTGTAATGTTTTAAACCTTTTTCGCTTTCGGCTATTCTTGTTTCATGATTGTCCTCTGGCTGGATATACACGAAGTCTTTTTCTGATATTTTCTCTTAATTAATTTGGTAACATCTGGTGTAACTGCATATAATGTGGATGTCTTCAAGAAAACTTGAGACAATACCTGGATTTCATTTCCACATCACAGAAATCAATTCCAAACAGCAATCAAGTTTTCTTTTTAATTTAAAGTTGAGTTGATGTTGTTTTTGGCTATATTAAATAGGTTCAAAAGTTTTAGATGGTGTCTCTTCGTGTTTGCCACTAGTTGAATTTACTGGAAGATGGAGTTGTTGCAACATGTTAACACGAAATGCAACAAATAAATTTTGTTGATACATAAAAATACGTACACATACACATAGCCTGTACTGCCTGGGTGTGGCCACCATATGGGTATTTTTTATCATTTTATTGAACCAAAATTTATATCACCACAGGAGAGTATATTTTCTTGATCAGCATCAGCAATTTGACTTTACTTGCTTTGACTCTTATGTTCGTCTCAGAAAGTTACAACGCAATCGAATCACAGATTTATCAAGAATTGTCACATCTGGAATTGAAGAGGTGTATGAACTGTAAGTACTTGATTCTTCAACTGAATGTTTCATTTTGGGTTATTTGGCAAGAAACCAGATGATTTTCTTCTGGAAGCCTTGGGTTATATTCAAGTGTGCTTCAGCTCTACTAAGGTCTGAAAATGCTATGTTTATTTTGTAGATTGTTGGACAACAATAAGATCGATCACCTTCCACCGAACATATTTCAGAATACTAAAGTAACCGGAAGCCTGTGAGTAACAGAAACTACAACTGTTACCGAAGTCATGCGTAATTGTTTTCATCATTTATTTAGAAATATCCACACGCTTAAGGCACTAGACATGAGCAGGAAAATACATATTAGAGAACGAAAACTTCCAAACAAACTCACAATAAAGAAAAATATTTACCTTAACGGTGTATGGCTTTACGGGCAAAAAACGAAAATAACGACGCTGCTCCTTAAAAAATGGACATAACTAAACTTCACGGGACTAAAATATGAAAAAAACTGACAAATTACTTGACATAATTATATAACATTACGCAACAGTAAAAACATCAATCACAAGTACACAATAAAGCAAAGGAAACCCACAAACATTCACAGATAATTAAAACGTGAACGTAATACACACAACAAAAAGTATGACAATTAGTTTCGCGATAACAACAACCATGATGGAGTTGTTATTCTGTGACTCTTTTTGATTAGTGTTACAAAAAAGGAAGAAGCACTTAATGTACAGAAAATATGTGTTTGATCTTTGATTCATTTACTGTAATTTAGAATGGTTCCTACTTTAATCCATTGATTCCTAACTGTGACCAGCAAATAATTTCTCCCAACGATATCAGCCCAAAATCAAACATTAAGGCCATGAGAATAGAGGAAATGATCACCAACTGATGGAGTTCGTAATTGTTAAACAAGTTCTCCACGTCAGCACCTTAGGAAATATCTAGAGAACAGTATAATGTCAGGGTATAAAGACTTAAATGCGTCTCCCTGGGCCTTGAGCGTCTATTTTCTTTTCGATAACTTCATTTTTCTCGTCTTTCCACAGTGATTTGTCGTTCAACAAGCTGCAGTCATTACCTGACAACGTGTTTTCTAGACTCAATAAATTAAACATTCTGTAAGTAAAATATGAAAACCAAAGTAGAAAGTAATCAGCTCACTTGTCCCAAATGGAACAATACAATCAATAATTAGTCAGGTCGAGATGGCCGCCTCTCAAAAAAAGAAACAAACACATGCTAGTAGAGTGGTATGTTGCTCGCACCAATCAGATTGCCCCATTAGGGTATGTATCTCGTACCAATTACATCACAGCATTTGCATATCTTGAACCAATCACAACGTTTAGGGTATGTGTCTGGCACAAATCAGATTGCCGTATTAGGGTATATATCTCGCACAGTCATATTACAGCAAAAGGATATCTTGGACCAGTGACAGCGTTTGGAAATTGTTTTCTTGCAAATGATCTCATGGAATTAGGGGGCTGTACACAAAGAATCACAAAAAACTGCAATTTTTGGGCTCAATTATAAGTTTAATGGTTTGTGGCCTTCGCGAGAGCCTCGTCGAGTAAGGTCGAGATTTATCTAATTATTTGCATCATTTGTGTCATTTTTAAGTTAAAACGAGTTATTCCGCTCCTTTACTCACAACTCACACGCCCCTTAAACAACTTATTACACCAAGTACCATAAAAACAAAGTACATTAGAACATACCTAATCACTGCACTATATGAACATAAGGCAATTTTTCACGTGCTTGAATTGTATTCCACCAATCAAATTCCACTTTGCCAAATTGGACTTCGCCCTATCACTTGTCATTTCCTTGTAAACAACCTGCATTTAATCATGTATTCGAACAGCATTCTCCAACCCCACTGAAAAAAAAATCACGTGGAATCAAACTCTACTGATAGCGAATTTTTCTCGTTATTCTCTTATATTTTGAATATTTGGCACCGAGGCATTTTATTTTTGCTAAGATGTATTTAGACAATAGAGACAATAGACCACAAAATACCTGTGTGAGTTCAGATAAATTAGGTTTTCTCTTTCTCTTAAGGTGAAGTAATGCGATATTTTCGTCCGTTTGAAGGTTATGCTCTTTTCCTGTTACAAAAATGAAAATATTAGGTACACAAAGTGCCCCATCTCAACCCACCCAGCCGAAAAAATAACTCTTGCATGCTACACATGCCTATATTTTTTTCAAAGGTAGACTGCTCGTGACAACCTTTTTCCTGAACAACTTATTTCAATTTCCAAGGGATAAAAACACGTATCTAAAATGAAACAAACGAAATAGGACATCATAAAGAGTTTCATACAGATTTATTTCCAGTGGCTCAGACTGCAAACCGGCCTTGCTCTATGTTTGATATCTCAGGAGTATAATATCTTCCCCTCCTTTTAGGGTGCTAACCTTCAACAACATCACTCATATTAACAAACGCACATTCAGCGGACTTTCCAGTTTGACCACACTGTAAGTATTTCTATGTGAATTGTAAAGGGGTTTCCATAACTTTTTCCATAAGCGATAATTTATGATATCATGCTCAGCCTCATTTAATATTTTCTTAGTATCAACAAAAGTAATTGAGATAAAACGTGCTCGTGCTTTCCATTGATCAGTGAGTGTGTATGCACGGTTGTAAACTTTTAAGAGTCACGTGCGTTTCATAAAGGTCATATAGGATATATGATCATGGATATTTACCTATGTAATTGTTATGAATGGCACGCGTATGACGTCATGTCCATGATCATTCTTCTCATAAGTAAGGAGTTTTCTTTTTAATGTTATTTTACAGGCTGCTAATCAAAAACAAGCTTACATTTATTCCCGAAGACGTTTTTGATGAAACTCCTCGCCTGGAATCATTGTAAGAATAAACTTTAGTTCTAAGATTTTCCTCACGTCATGTAATGTTGTATCATGTGTATCGTAGTATATCATTACAAGTTACACCATGAGATATGAGTTGCTTCGGTTTCTAAGATGTATCCCGGTTGCCGTTAGTTAGAAAAAGGGTTACCTTTTCTTCTTTTCTCATCAAAAGCAGTTTGATTGAGAATAGAAGATCACCGAAACGTATTTTTTTTCTGCAGGTTTCTTCACAGTAACGCAATCAAAACTATTGAAAGCAAGGCTTTTGACAGACTTGTACTGGAGCAGTTGTGAGTAAATTGACAAATGGACTGATTTGCTTTGAAGCTCTGAAAAGGAGATAAATTTCATGAACTGAACATTTTCTTTTTTCTTCGGTCGGCTGGACGTCAGAAGGAAACAACAAACATATTTAAGAAAAAAAATCGGTCGATGATATTGGGAGCTTTTAAAATCGTCACTTGTGTAATGAGTAGATATTTTATTTTTCAGAACCATCTTTGATAATCCTCTAAGCTTCTTACCAGATGGAATGTTCGACAAAATTACAAACCATACCAAAGTGTAAGTCAAGCCGTATGACTTAAACAAACGCTATAAAGTTTTTTTACTAGAAATTGAAGTAAGTAGTAGACTCCTAGATTATAGACACTCGAAGATATACTTTATATATTATCCGGCTGACTTAGAAACTTTATATTGCTGAGTTCCATAAGTTATCATAATCATTTCCAAAAATGTTTTCGAACACACCAAAGAACATGAGGCAAAATGAGGTATATTTACGAAAATACGAAAGCACCCTAGTAGTTATAAAAAGCGAGTTCTGGCGTATTTCGTATCGAACCTTGATTTCAAGGCAACTTATGGATTTCACCTCAAAAATTAAGGTTGATTTCAAAGAACAGTTCTGGCGCATTTTGAAAACAACCTTGACTGAAAAAAAAATAAAACAGTTCTGGCAGATTAACAAAACAACCTTGATTTCAAGCCCACTTGAATGCCTCACTTGCGACTTCTGAAGAGAGTCTGAAAATCATTTTCTTGAATGATGGGGGTGTTGATTAATTTTGTTTCAAATCAACGAATTCCTTCAGGAGGTAACTCAGTTTCAGGGGGAACAATCTGAAGCTCTTCTTTAAAGAAACCACGCTTTGGTCCATCTTTCAAATAGTACAGAGCAGGCTCGCCTTAATTCACAAGTGATTTTTCGATATTTTAGACCTTTAGAGACCAGATCTGTGGCTGTTCTTTGACCATCTTCCAGCCTACCAGTGGCATAGAGATTCCCCCGACTTAGATGATTTCACCTTGCTTTTGTTGAACACTTGGCTTGTAGAAGTTGAAAAGTTTTGGTTCCCTCAGATCAAGCTCTTGATTGTGCACTTTCTTGTACAGCTTCAAAGCATAATCTGTGTCCACAAAATTCCTTGACCCTGTTATTAGTTGCGATCCAATAGAGGAGCCCTGTTCGATTTTCTTGCTTCTTTTCAAAGGCCGCTTGGTACTTCTCTACAACGAGATCATGCCTCTCCTCTTCTACAGCACTATTCTGGTCTCCACTCAAACACTTTGCGAGATAGCTTTCACGAACAAAGGCGATCGCATTGATAAGCGCTCCTCCAATCATTATTGCTATGCTTGCCATTTTATTTATTTGCAACTTTGTTGCTTGGATTCCCCGCATCTTCATCTTTATTTTCGAAAATCAACGACAAGTATTCATCATGAAACCTTTGACGAGGTTCTTTCTCTATATGACTGACATAGAATATTAAGGCAGTCTCAATGATTGCGCAGACTGCTGCTAACTTAATTAAATTCATTGTAAATCGGCTAAACATTTTTAAGATGGCAGAATCTTTTGATCTTCAAGCTATTGTTTTATCGCGATTGATGCAGCGATCACGATCAAATCTTATGAACTATGTGAACTTCACATAGTTCATAAGATTTGAACTCGGATCAGAAGTCATCGGTTCCTTGATGAATTTCTTTGCAACTCATCCAATTCTAGTATCCAGTCAAGGTAGCGAAATCGGTCATCGGTAGACACTTGCTACTGAAAGAATATGAGAAAGCGAGAATGATGATTGTTCTGGTTGTAATCCTACACCTGGATCTGTGGTGCCTACCCCCTCAGGGCTTGCCTCTTCAAGGCCTGGATCTTCGGATTGCTTTAAACCTCCTTTCTCCTTCTTTTCCTCTCTCACTGTTCTGTTGCATTCAGCAAGCTTTTTGCCAGCTGCGACACGCCCTGGGTCTTTATTTGGTTTTGTCTTATTTTTATCATTTAAAGTCACATGTTGAGCATTTTGCAGCCCGGTCAGCCTTTCAGGGCTAACCGCTCCGTGGCTGGCGCCTTCAGGGCTAACCAGACCTTCTTCAGTCTTAGGTTCTTTATCATCCATTCTATTTTTTTGATATAGAATTTGAAGTTCTCATTCAAGTACGTTATACAAGTTCTTATTCAGGGCCATAGATGAGTTCATAATATTCAGTTTCTTCACAAGTAGTATCCTTTTCCTTATCATTTATCAAGTGTACTTCAACGTTTTTGGCACTGAGAAGAGCAGCACCTGCGATTGCCATGTAACTTCCATACTTTAGACTCAATCCATCGGCAATCATTCCGAGCTCTCTCTTTACCATGAAGTTATCTTTCAAGCCCTTCAGAAGTTTTCCTGCATCAACAGGGAGAAGATGAACCAATGCTTTACGTAAGAGCTGAAGAGATGTATCAACCATTGCATCACAAGTCTTTGAAGACAATAAAGCTTCATATCTCTTGAAGTACTTCTCAACTTCTTGTTCAGAAAGCCTCTTGACTTGATCCTGGGTGAGAGATACACCTACCATGCTACTCTGGTTTGCAGATTTAATGAATGTAACCGAAGAAGTTACAATTCATAGACCCAACGTTTCGACACTCCTGTCTAGTACCTTCATCAGGGGTGATTTAAACGCTGCAACAAGAGGTCCTTTTATATGATAACTAATTATCGGCCTTTTTTCTGACGGTTGTGGCTATTCAAAAATAATTTTGACATAATAAGGGAGGCGGTAATTGATCAAGAGAGACCCTTCATCAAGAGAAGATCAGATAAAAAATTCTGAGTGAGAGAAATTCTATAATTAATTTTTATCAAGAAAGAAATTTCCTATTTTCAGGCCCTCGTGGCTCATGAATCGTCAGAGAGGATTTTTTCTTGAATTAGATGGATCTTGTGATACACTGAAATTAGCTTTTTAATACGACGGGATTCAACATTATAGATATATAAACCCATTTCATCGCACATATAAGGAATTTGTAAATCAGATGAGATTAAGAATTACAAGTGTGAAAAAAAAGGAGTGACTCTCATAAGATTAAAATATGACGTTCAGAATCTTGAGGCATACATAAGGCATGAACTGAGAAAGAAAAATTTCATTTGAACCTTTCTTCAAACAGTTTGAAAAAAGTTTTAGCTCAGGTGTGTGATGATGGCTTACCTCATTAATAGGTCACGCTTTCAAGCTTTCTGTTGATAATGTTGAGCTGAGCATCCAAGTGGATGAAGATGTGACATTTAACATTCCCCGAACCCGATTAATTGCGAGCTGAATTACTTCTTTTGTATCCATGAATCTCAATCCACTTGCATGTAGATCATTGTCTCTCGTACTCCTGAGATCGATGAAAAGAGCGAATCTGTCTCCGGCATAAAAGTCTGTCGCATTCATCGCACTGTTTTCCTTTCAAATCTTCTGGAGACCTCTCCCCACATATCTCTTTCCTCCATTCCTTGGCTGCAAACTTTATTCGTTGACCTTTATTCCGTTGACAATCACCTTCACTTCAGTGATGTCGGGATTTAATGTCTTCTCACTGTCTCTCGCACTAGCGGCATATTGCTCGTAAAGAAGATTGATTGGTTGATTCCCACCTTCATGTCGGAACTTCCCTTCTTCATGCTGTTATTATACCCAGCCATACTCTGAGTGTTAGGAAGAAGATTTGAGGGCATGAGCCAAATGCCTGTTGAGACTGCAAGATCAAGGCGGACTTTAGCCTCATCAATCGCACGCTGAAACTTCTGAACGCTCTTCCAAATGTCTAGCTTTCTGATGGCATTCTCAACCAATACCAGGAACTCACGTTGAGCTTCTTTCTCGCTTCCTGATGAACCCAAGATTAATGATCTGACATTGACTTGTGAACTGAGAGTGCAGTAAATGAATGCCTCAATCGAATGATTCAGTCTCGCCATCCCAGCTTGCGTCAGACTTTCTGACTTGTCTGCCATGAAGAAGTGGAATTGCCTCTCAACTCTCGCATTATCATTCCTGATGAAGTATATCAGATTTCCCTTGTTGGCTTTTCCACCCTCATAACTGAACTTGTCGGATATGTGTCTGAAGTTGCTATTGGGCCGGCATTTGTCGCATAAATGAAAACAGATCCGAGACTGTGATTAACGCCTCCTTTGGAGCGGAACCTAGCGCTTGGTTTGAACGATGGCTGTCATAATTATTATTTTATCTGGCTGAAAGTTGGGTCACCCGGAAGAGCTGACTCACTCTGAATTCCACCCATCTCAAAGAAAATCTTTTTGGCTGTGAAGTAGATGTGAAACATCAGAAACGACTTGATCTGTTCTGGAACCTTATCGAAAATTTCACGAGATCTACCACATCCTGTCTATGCGCACCATACTGCGAAGTTGAGCTGTTGAAGCCCATAGCTCATGTTCGGTCCTACGAGCCATCGCTCTGATTCTGCTCCTGAAGAGCGCTGAATTTTCGTCCTTGTGAATATTGCTCTGAATTTTGCATTGAAGTATTGATATGGTGTGACAAAGATCTTAATCTCCTCGTGGAAGCAGCTGACGGCATTCTCTTTAAATGGAACTGCCGGTACCTCTGTTCCTATTCGGTTAGCCCCTTCGGGGCCCGGCCGAAGGCTAAGAGTGAGTTCAGGAGGAAAACCTCCAATTCCAAGTGGCTTCTTCGTGTCATCATCCCAATATCTTCTATCTGATCCTGAGACGCTCGTCTGAACTCTATCTGATCGATTTAAGTAAACTTCAGATGTTGCCTGTCTTTTGTCATCAAACGACACTTGCGCACTGAACTTGCTCAGGTCCGCATTTGGACATCTTTCTTTGAAGTCCTTCCAGGCTTTTGTCCTAGCTTTATCTGCAATTTTATTCGCTTCATCTGATCTTAGCCACTCAAACATTTTTTATTGTTTTTATAATGAAAATGGTTGTTGTGACAATTATTGCAGATTCAAACGATCATACTATCGGTAAATCGAAATATATCAGACTTTTGTCTTGTTCGCTCTATAATTCATGGTATAATTTGAGGAGAAGAGGAGAAATATCGATCTCCGATAGAAAAGACAATGCAAGTATTCAACTTATTCCTCCAGCCATACTCTGCAAATACAGTCTTGAGAGCCTTACGGAAGCCCTTGAGGAAATATTAAGTGAAGAAAAAGGATTAACAGTCTCAATGAATCAATGACAATTCTTAATTCCCAAAAAAAGAGATTTAAACTCGATAGAGATCGTCCTTTACCCCTCGCGATTGATCAGCGTTTGCAAGAGAAAAAACTCCATCTGTCGATTTACTTCTTTCAACAGTTATCTTGTCCACTGTGATCTTTTGGACAAGGATGAAAACCTATGCAATGGGGAACCCTTAAGCGTTCTTGGTTGCTTTGACATTCCCGGGAGCCAGTTTGAAAGGGTAAATTATTCTCCACCGAATCCTGTGTTGCAAAAAATAACACCAAGGAATGATATCACTTCCATACATATAGAAAAAGCTCATCTGAGGTTGATGTTGACGCTATAAAGGAACATATAAGGGAAGATTATCGAAAAAAGCTCGCATCACTCGTAAACATAACGAAGTAAGATTTGAATTTGACAAGAGGACGAACGGGTTTTGTTTGCTCGTCTCACACATGCAAATTCAACACAGTTAGTTATTTAATAAGCGTTTGTAGGTTACTGTGACGTCAATAGATTATCACGTTCTAGTTAAGCGAACAATAAATTATCACGTGAAAGACAATAGCACGCATTCCAGATCTCCCTAACAAGTTGATGCTCTTGAAGTAATTAAGAAATCAATTTTCACTCGCGCTGGTTGTTAAGGAGATCTGGAGTGTATTATATTGTCTTTCACGTGATAATCTATTGTTTGCTAAAGCTAAGAACGTGATTACCTTCTGTTTGCTGAACCAAAGAACGTGATTTTATTTCACTTGTAAAAATGATCATGTCGTTTCACACTGTTGTTTTTATGCTTTCTAAGCCAAACTGAATAAGAGAAATTGTGAAGTCGTTTTTGAGACAGTTCGAGAGAATCGTTTAAGAGAATCGTTAACAATGATAATTCTCACACTCTCTTTAGAACATTCTAGTGGCCTTGAAATCAAGAAATCAAGGTTAAAATTAACCTTGATTTTTGAGATAAAATTTATGAGTTGCCTTGAAATCAAGGTAAAATTTTTACTGGAGAAGAAATGCGCGAGAACTCACTTTTTATAACTAGTACCCTTCACGCGGAAACACACCTATTATTTTTATCATCATCATAGTTATCGTCATTGACATCTTCATCATTATCATTACAGTTGTTGTGTTCTAGCTTTATTTGTATACACCCGATTGCAAAAACGTTGACATCTAATAAGCTTGATTCACGAACGACAAGACCCATCACCTTTATGGGAAATGTTCGCACAGATACACAATCAGTGATTTACTTCTCTCATTATTCATGGAAAATCTTTTCTCATGATAAAACGTTTTCTTCCGGGAAAGTTTGGATAGCTCTTTACTGAGTCTCATCGTTCATTATAAACGCTTGTTGCGTGTCAACGTTTTTGCAATTGAGTGTAGTCTATCACGAGTCGAGTTTTGTACCCTTAGTAGTTCTCACTGTCGAGTTATTTGAGGGGAGGAGGGGAGTTATCAGGCAATGGACTCTCATCTAATCCGAGCGAAGGAGCAAAACCTCAAGTCACTCAAAGCTATGGAAACCTGAGTTTGCTTTGGCCACGTGGGCCTTTTGACTAATTACTGCTGCCATCATTCTCATAATGATCACTTTGCGTCTTACATCCAATCAGCTTAAATTCAACTTATTGACAATCAAATTGTTTACAGGTCATTGACGTGTAAAAATCTTCGTCAGCTGCCTCGGGGAAAATATGTGTCACAAATGTAAGTATGCCTTAAGTTTCATTTTTTTTTTTTGTACACCCCATGGAATCAGCGTTACCATTTTCCGTTGATGGACATCTTCACTATCAATTGAGTGGCTTCTTTGACTTAGGAAATTCAATATGTGTAGGAATTAAAAGTCAGCCTTGATATAAAATAAAGCCTTTCTCGGTCTAGCCATGAAACACTACAAGTCTTGAAAACAGCTAGCGTTCATGCGCCTCTGCAAGACGACGTTGTCATGAAAACTCGCCTCATGCATCAAAAACATGGTAACTGTGTGAATTTTTTAAAGCACACATTTCATAGAGCGTTTTTAACTATTTGCACTTATTAAACATGATCTCAAAGTTAGAGCCAATTCGGTTTTGCGTTTCACTTGGTTTAAACATACCTCAAATCCAATACGCGCGTACGGGTTAGTTGTCATCTCATTTCCAGGTCTCTCTTCTCACGGGAAAACTTACAATGCTTTTTCCAAGCGAGCTTTTGATAAATTATCATTGTCTTATTCTCAGTGAGTGTGCTCCCTCGACATCTCTGCACGTCATTTTGGACAACGACCAATATCGCTTCATATCTGGCTTTATACGCTCAGGTTTTGTGTGCCACAACTGTGTAACCTCTAAGAGACACATTATTCATACTGGGTGTAAAAACTGCAGTCTCTGTCCAGCTGGAACTTACATTTATAATGATGAAAACCACTGTCTGGAGTGTTTTGCAGGTAGTGAGAATGATCACCTATTTCACTGTAAATAATGATTTAAATGTTAACGTAAAAGATTTAGATAACGCCGCTTCTACGAAGAATCCAACAGCGCTTTTTTTTTTATGAAGAATGGAATATAAACTAAAACATATTTCAGAGAAAGGTATAAGCCCCATCAGTAATTGAAACTGTATAATGTCAACTAAAAAAATTCGTTTAAAAAGAAAAGCCTTAGGCTTGAATTAAAAGGAGGTCAACGACTTGCACTTCCTCATAACCTCTGGAAGAGAATTCAACAATACTGGTGCATTATATGAATAAAACTCCTTGACCATGCAACCGAGGATTTTATCTTGGTGCTACAAGTAACATTTACAAAAGAATCACAAGGTTCTTAAAGTTCCTGTAAGTAAACAGGCGCCACATCGTTAAACGATTTGAAATTTAAAAGTAGAGTTTTATAACCACTTTACTCGGCCACTGGAAGGAAATCTATCCTTCTCAACTTTCTCAATATCATAACCAAAAGCAAGCAACAAAGAATAACTTTAAACATTGCAAAAACACTCACATTTATAAAAATGTTTCCACTCTGTAATTGTATTTAACCTTGGAATCTCTTACAACTCACCCGTGGAGCTGATTTATTGTTTTATGATTTCTTGACAGGTGGCTTTTATCAGGATGAAATGGGACAAATTGAATGTAAAAGATGCAGTAATGGTACATTTGTTTCTGAACGGCGAAGTCCTGGAACCAAAGCTACCGACTGCGTGGCATGTCCGTATGGTAAGTGCAGTGTTCGCTTTGGGCAAACTGCACCTTTTTTTCATTAAAATACGCTCTAGGTGACACTACGTTTTAATGAAAGAACTGTCACAGTGATTTCTTTAACATATTGCAGTCACAGAACACAATCGACTGTAGTGGACTATCAGAAACCCTATTTAGAGAATAAAAAGATAAGCTGAGATAACTCGCCAAATTGTAGTTGTTGTTGTTATTTATTTTCGGCGAAGTCCAAAGATATCTTATTTTAAAGTATATCCATTTATTTCGCTGGTGAAATCTTATTCTTTGGTTGATTCAGAGAAGAGAGGAAGTGAATTCAAGGAAAAGCCTTTTTATGAATGCTTTATTATAATTGCTAAGAGAAGAAACATTCCTTCCCAGGTACGATCTCCAACGAGACTGCTGAATATCGTGCATGCAGATGCCTACACAACTTCTATCGGCTGGATCGTTTCGGCCCGTGCTCAGCATGTCCACCATACGGTTTTGTTTGTGAGAAAGATACAGCAATACTTGCTCCTAACTACTTCTGGGAATGGACGGACCAGTCTCAAAAAGAGCGTTTCAAGGGTTTTGTCAACAATATTCATTCTTTTGGACCAGACTACAACAAATCGTATTCCACGTTCAATACTTCACTTCCGAAGCCACTTAAATGTCCCCATGCAAAGTCCTGCAAGGGTGGAATTGACTCAGAATGCCATCAAGGATATAAAGGGACTCTGTGTGCAACCTGCTCTGAAGGCTTCTATTTTCGCTTCAACTCTTGTTTGAAATGTCCCCGGTTACCTGTAACAATTACTTCATCCATCTTGGTGATTGCTCTTTTTGTTGCTGTGTTTCTAATGGTTCTTTGGGGTGACTCCAAACGTACCAAGAACAACCGGACAGTTGCAGATGTCATCATGTCGTGCTTTAAGATTGTGATTGGTTTTTACCAAGTCATTGCCGGTATTTTCTCGGCATTGGCGAAAGTCCAGTGGCCAGTCGCTTTGATCTCAACGGAGAAGGTTCTAAAAGTATTTGAAGGGAACATCTTGCAGTTTGCCCCTCTTAGTTGCATTCATACTTCTCTACGGCTTGATCAGCTTGGAAAGTTTACGATGATTGTTGTCATGAATGTCATACTCGTTGGCTTGATTTTCTTGTATCTATTTCTTAAAAAACGCTACATCATGAATAAGGAGGACCTTGGCGAAGACCAGAAAGCAATGGAAGTTAAGAGTTTGAAGAAGTCTTGCTATCGGAATATTTTTCTATTGTTGTTGACGACCTACCCCACGACGAGCAAATCGATTATTCAGATTCTACCTCTTCCCGGTGCATGTGTAGAGACTTGTTTTACAGACGACAAGAGCGACTGCATCTTCCTGCTGAGAGCTGACCACTCCATTCAGTGTTTCACTCCTCGCCACAACTTGTATTGGCTCATGGCGTCTATCTTGGCATTATATCCCGTGGGATTTCCACTTCTGGCTCTGTTTCTCACTTACAAGTATCGCGAGTCCCATAAATACGAAGCAATTTCTTTCGGACTCAGAGTGTTCTTTGAAAACTACAAGAAGGAATTTTGGTTTTGGGAAATCACAGAGATGTATCGCAAGCTGATTTTAATCTCGTTCATTTTCCTTTTTGGATCAAAGAGCCTCTCTCAAATTGGTCTTACAGTTCTGACAGTTAGTATCTTTGGAGTTATCTACACCTTATTCCGACCGATCAAGAATAAGTTTGAAGACTGCTTGCAAACTTTTGTTCTTTGGATCATTTTCTTTGACGTTTGTCTCGGCGCAGTTTACACAAACTGGGATGAGAGTCAAGGAGAGGGCAAGAACGACTCCATCTTTGTAAATGTCCTGTTCGTGGCCCTTAACGCCTCTGTTTTGTTGCTTGCCATTGGTAAGTCAACATGCTGCTCTGCTTTCGGTCTTAAATGTGCATTTTACCCATTTGCTAAATAAATTAAGGAAAGGTAGCGTTGATTTTGGTGTTTTTCTCAATTCCCCAGATTTTTCGTTTTAAGCGCAATTAAAGTATTATGATAAAATCATGAAGTAGCCATGTCCAGGTTATTTAGGATATTTGACTCTCTATAACACTGGCTCGCACAACTGTAACCTCAAAACAGATCGCGATGTTCAGTCAATTCTTCTCTCAGCTTAACTCTTCTTGTAAGGGGAACTTTGAGACCTTGTAATCCTGATAGCCGAGTTATTTTCTCTATTCATGTACTGTAGTGTTCCAACATTAGAGAGTATTGGTAGAAGACAGAAAACTGTGAGGTACAAATGGAGTATAATGAATATTGACATCTTAGAAAGAAATCCAAACCCCTGTGCTAACGAAATGTCAACACCCATTCTCAAAATGCTTCTTAGCGAGAGCGAAAACAAAGACAAATTTCAGAAAAAAAGGGACACCTAACCGTTTTAAACGCTTTCGTGTAAGATTTGAATCACATGTTTAAAATATGAAATCCGTCTCTTTTTTCTACTTTGCAGGAAAAGGAATTCTACATGTGAAGTCCATTTGGAAGTACATTACCTTCAACCCGATCCGATGTTTCATTTTCCTTCGCCAAGGAGTATCACGTCTCAAAAATAGAGTAATCAGAAGAACAGGAACATCCGATGAATTTCCACACTTAATTGAAGAAAGCAACTGAAGAACTTCTTTGAAATGTTTGTCTTAAAACTATTTTGCTATGCCTCACGAAATATCTCGCTTTAGATGGCTTAAACATTTAGAACTTTCTTTGAAATCTCTCTGGCTGTGAGACTTTAGGATGACATTTCATTGCAACTTGAGGCACTAGCGATTCCCGCAAAGGCTGTGTTCTTCAAAACGCGATGCGTTTTTATTTTTAAGTCTTTAGTTCAAATTGGGATAATAAGATAGTTTATTTTTAGATAATAAGGTAGTTTACTTTTTAGTTTAAAAAAATAATAATAATAACGTTTTGATTAATTGATCTGTTTATATATTTTATGTAAAGTCCTTATAAACCTTTATTCGTTTGAAGCATATGAAAACCACAAATGGCGTGGCACGTTAAATTTGGACAAAGTCAGGACTGTACCATGAATATTAAATAAGCACCGCTTTGCTCTTTCATTAAAAACTGTCTCTAATATATTCAACGTCACAACAAGAGTGTGCTCTTTTTTAAAACTGATTTTAAAAGATTCAATTCAGATCAGTGTCTGTCCAGTGCCTCGTTGACTATTTAAATCTAGTGGAGGGTAAACATTTTGTTCATTTAACAACGAGCCAGATTTTTCCCTTATGTCTTTACATCGCCAGCAGTAAAGAAATGTGTTTGGGGATGAATATAAACGCATGCATTTATTTACGACTCTCTCTTGTTTCTAGAAAAGAACAGATCCAACCTTGACACACATTGGTAAAATCACGATAATCGTAATGATGATGATTATTTTGTCAAAGCGCGCAGTCAATGTGATGATCAAAAAGATAAGAGAGAATGACTGCTGAAACTAAAAACTCACGAGAGCCAGCGTTTATTGACATGATAATAATAGGGAGTACTTTCCAAAGAAATGATGACGCTGGGAGGGGGGGGGGGGCTTAACAGGATAATGTGGGAATGTGAGCTTTTTTCAAGAGGTTTGATAATGTCAACTGGCCACTGTAAAGAATTTTCAAAGCCGATCTTTCAAGCGTTAGTCTTTACTTAGAAAGAGAGACTGACGCTTAAAATGTCAGCTTTAGAAACTCTTCACGGAGGCTGATTTGTAGTTTTGACTCAGTTGATCAAACCAATTTGCAACGAAGCGAGAAATCTTTAGGCTTGGATTGTAGCTAACGAATTTTAAAACCTTCAGAGTGCTGATTTTGGAGCTAATAGAATGAGTGCTTACAAGAGAGTTCGGCTTCAACTTCGTTGAAAATGTATAGGCGCTTATAACTACATCGTTATAAGTAACAAACCAGAATAAATCTAGGGAGGGAGGAAAGACTGAAATACCGTCGGGCAATCAGATAGGAATCACAAGCACTGAAACCCGTGAGCTGACAAGGCTGCGTTAATTGATTGATTATCTTGAAAAATGGAGGAATGGACGGAAATTTTTCAGATCTGACCCACACTTTGGTTTCTAGAAGACAAAAAAATAACAATAATAACAAAAATGAGATAAGGTCAGTCAAAATGGGAGACACCACCAAGAGCAATATATCACATCATTAATCAATTAACGATAATAGATCGCCAAAATACTCCATTGCTATTGATATCATTTTTTGTTTGTTTGTTTTTGTTGTTTGTTTGTCTGTTTTTTGGAATTCGAAGCTAACACTGTTTGAGATCGTCGAGAACACTATTCGGAGAAATTAGTAACATTTTTGATTTTTCAAACACGTCTCGATGTGTCTCAGCTCGCACCTTTGTGGGTTGAAAAAATATTTGGAAAAAGAAACTATTTAAATTGATGCTAATCTCGACAGATATGCATGACTACGATCACAGGGATATAAGAGAAAAGGAATCTATGTAATATAAACAACTATTAACGCAAAAAAGTGAGATTGGTATGATAGACTTTTTGATTGATATAATTACTGGGCTTTTCCCAGTTGATGGGAAAAGTTTCCTTGAGTTTGGCTGGAATTTTTAAAGAGCAGAACCTATAATTTCGATACAATCCGTTGCGCGGAATACTCGGTAAGCTTTGGAGATGTTTGAAAATGTAAAAAGACCCATGCGTGCGAAAATTTCTCCTAATCCCTTTACCCACCTTTTTCTTTTTTTTTTTTTTTTTTTAACTCCCTTTTGAAGTCTAACTACCAGCAGGTAAGCTTCACAGGTCTGGTGAAGAAATGTGTACACCGTCTTCCCTGTCCCTAACAATAACCTTGCCGTCTGAGACCAACTCGTATTGCAATATTGCTTCAAGACCATCCACCACTATTAGAAGCAAGTATTAGTAAGAAAGTGACAAGAATAACCTTGTGTAATAAAGGAAGTAATACAATATGAGCTGTATCTGTTGTGCATCAACTACCCCCTTCCCCACCTCTGAAAAGCTTCTCCTCTGATTAACTTCCGTCTGGAAGCCTTGGAATTTCATAAGCCTCTCCTCCCTCCGAGTGTTTACAATATCGTTTTTGATTTAAAAGAAAACCAAAAAAAACAAAAACAAGAAAAAAACAAGAAAAACAAGAAAATATAATAACACCTCCATGTTCAATTGACACCAACCTACAAAGTGTAAATGTTACACTAAAATTGACAAGACCACCAGTGGGAATGAAAGGCCAATGAGAAACTTTGCACGTTGGAGGCTTATCATACTTTCCTAAAAAAGATTGCAACAATAGAGCTTGAGTTTCAATGCTATTTTGACGCTTTGGGAATTTAACTCTGCACATAAATATATAATAGCTAAAGGTTTCTAAAACCGTGGACTACAGGGAAAAAAAAAGAAAAACAGTTAACAGTTCAGTCACTAGTTAGTCAACGGCTGATGTGATTCTTATTTCTCCATACTTTTGGGCCTGAGGTAGAAGTTTTTTTGCTGGATCGCATGGGAGGGGATGGGTGATCAGTCGTCGCTGACAGCGTACAAAAGGGAGGCTGTAGAAAATTCCCAATGAGAAAAGATAGTAAGAATATTACAGACCTTTGTATGGGAATCAAGTACATACTATCCAACCTCCCAACAAGCAATAAATAAGGACTTGTCTTTCAGTCCCCATCTTTCTGACGTATTTCCTGGCCCACGAGGAGCTTTGAAATAGCAATGCATAGAATATTACAATGGGTAAGTTCTTTACATTTTGTCCGCAAAAAGTGGTGACTTTTCAAAACTTGAATGGTCTTATCCGCAGCTGGTTTTACTAAAATAGGCAGAGGACAATGGAAACGGAAACGAATTTTTTTTTGAATCGAGAATAAACGATCAAGAATGGAGAACGAATTATAAAACCTGGGAATTGAAAATACAATCAGAAAAATTTGAAAATGGAAAGATCATTAAAGGCCTTTAAAGTAGTCGATTAATCAAGAGAGGAGACTTTTCCTTGTATCGCCTACTTTCTCTTTCTTTATTAATCACCTCATGAATGACATGAATTTTCAATCTCACACACGTTTAGTAAAATGTACATGTCTTTCGAAGTAGTTGAAAGAAAGAAAATTAACCATTCTTTTTCCCTGCGGAGAATTCTTATATTTTATTTTCCATTCGATTTCTGGTAACATTCTTTAATTGTTCCTGAACAGCTTTTGTAGGCAGAATGTCTTTGAGAGAGGATTGAAAATAAATCAAAAGAGACACTCACCACAGAATGATGCATTTATAATTTCAAGTCTCGATGGATATCCCGTTGTTCCACTGATGACAAAAAGAAGCAAGCTAAAAGCGATGGTTCGTCGTAGCTGACCGATCGAAGTTATCATCGTCTTTTTAACCAATACCTGGGAAGTAAACGTATCGGGCGCATGGGAAGAGACTCAGTGGGCGATAAAGACAATACAGAGTAACTGAGTCTGATGCCTTTCGTTACTTACTGGTATTTCATTGTCGGAGTCATTACATAACCCAAATGAAAACAACATAACAACATTCGATCATGTCACGCGCGATGGAAAGTAGTTTAGATGTCAAATACGTTTGCGAGCAAAACGTGAGAATTAAACGTGGTCTTTTTGATGAGTGTTTGTTACTCTTTAGAAATAGAAAGTCAGCTCTTTGTATTGGAAGCTCTTGTCACAAATTACGTAGGGAACTTACACTAGATAGGGCAACGAGTCAATTCTTTGCTAGTGGATCTTTAAGCTTTTGAAGCTACAGCTACTTAAGGTTATAGGAAAGGGAGGGATCTTTATAAGAGTGGCAGTATAAGCTTTCCAAGTAATCAAATGATGTGTGTCCTTTCATGTTTTAACCAGCATTTTGGAGAATGATTTTGGAAAATGACGAAGGACATGAGTTCGTCATGTTACCCTCGTTATATGAAGTCTACAACTTCGTATAACGCGTAACTTCCTTACAAACTGATTAAATTAAAATGTCTCAGTGCGCGCGCGCTAATTGCACGACACGTCAGTCCGGTACTGTCTTCTTAACACTCGTTCTCTACTACCACTATCTTTTCTCTATTGTGAATTTGATAGCAAGAAAATTCGACTGCTAGAGAAGCCCAAGTATTAAGAGGGGAGCGAGATATGTCACCAAAACTTGACTAACATTATTACCATTTCATTGCCTGACATGATTCGTAACTTACCAAGAGAGATACACCCCCAAACTTGTGTGCAAATTGTCCTGACATTTTAGGAATAGGATACTTTCTTTAGAAGTTGAAATTTTTCGCTAGAAAGTTCCCCTCGTTTAAAGCTGCGAAGATCGCTTCTACATTCGTTTCTTTAACTGCAGTGCACATATATAATGTTCATATATTTACAGCCATTATTCACCACTCGGAAAGTTTATTTGGATGCAACATAATGACCAGCTCCCAGTCCGCTTGTTAGCCCAGTTGGTAGAGCGCTGCACCGGTGTCGCAGAGGTCATGGGTTCAAATCTCGTAGGGGCCTGAATTTTTCTTACTTGTGTTTGTTGACTTTCCTCCCAGTCGTCCTTAACGCCTATCATAATAGAGAGGTGTGTCGTTCAAGTACCATTTGTCAACGCTCGAAACCAAACTATTTTTAATCATTGCGACGAAAACCTGACGAGGGAGTTATCTTTTCACCAATCAATGCTGACATAGTATAAAAAAAAGAAGTAAAGCTTATGTTTCTAATCTGTAAAAATTACTCTCCATAACATGTTCATTGCTGCTAAAAATTTGACTTAAAATTTGTCCAAGTATTCTACAGTCGAGAGTACTTGAAATCGTACCAAATCATTGATGAATGAAAATACCTTATCAAAAATTAGTTCATGGAAA